TTCTCGACAAATCAAATTCAACTAATTTACATCATAATTTAATGTTTCATAGCATTTACATCAAATTTCATAAGAAGTTACAAAGTGAAAACTGCTATTCAACTGTGTCCAAATTTACTGACCTTAACATGCCATAATTATTACTTTACATCAATATTAGTTATTTTTCATTTAGCATAGTAAAGAAGAGCTTATATTATTTCTTTAAAACCCATGCTTCTTGACTATAGTCTCCATCATTCAGATGCTTGCCTCTATCACACAAATCTAATCAGTTGGATGATCAAGACTTATTAGGGCCCCGCAAGGATTTGCGGGTGCCCTATAGTAATCACTCTGTCTGTCCGTCCGTCTGTCTGTCTGTCTGTCCGTCTGTCACTCTTCCGTCCACAAATTTTCTGTTTTTTTCTAATAACTTTTTTTATGGTTGCCCAATCAAGTTTAAATTTGGTATGGTAGTTTAATAGGCAGAAATACATATTTTGATGCTAAGTTTGATTCTCTATGTCTTCTAGTTTGGAGCTGGGGTGGTGGGGTAGATTCCTTAACTATGCATAAGAATGAACGGGCAACTTTTTTTATGGTTGCCCAATTAAGATCAAATTTGGTATGGTAGTTCAGTAGGCAAAAATACATATTTTGATGCTAAGTTTGGTTCTCTATGTCTCTTGGTTTGGAGCTGGGGTGGTGGGGTAGATTCCTTAACTCTATATAAGAATGCATTGGCAAAGAGAGATAACTGCTGAAGATCTTCCCATTGTAAACTGAATGCTTCTATGAGTCCCATGGGATTAATTAGCTTTCCTCCTGAAGAAAATCCAGAGCATTATCTTTATCTGTCACATTGAGATTAATTACCACCTCTGTCTGCAAATGAAGTTTGTTTTGAAGTTAAATCAATTTGGAATGCTATGAACACTCTGAAATGTGGATTTAATATAAATTTTTATTATTTATTTTTGTTTGATAGTTATGATTTCATTGAATCCTAAAAAAAGAAATAGATTAAAGAAGATTTTTTGATTTACCAGGGTACTTTTTTTTCACTTTTTTCCTTTTTTTTTTTTTTAAATATATTAATTCAAGAATGTTTTTAATTTTTAATGTAGTTGTATAAAAACCCCATTCTATCATTAATACTGAAAAAGTTCTTATTGTAACTTTAGAAGAAAATTGATGAGAGAGGTACAATTAATCCCTTGGGATTAATTATCTAGCCTGCTGCAGAAAATTTAGTAGGCTTCTCTTTATCTGTCACTTTAAGATTAATGAAAACCTTTGTCTGCAACTGCTGTTTGTTTGAAGTTAAGGTCAAGCCTTCATGATATTTGCATTCATTGAAGGCTGGCATTTTATATAACACAAGATTCATAATTGTTTAAATATAAATTCAATGTTAAGTTGTTCTTTACTGCCTAATGTAAATACAAGAATCTTATTTTCAGGTTTTTGAATATTCAGGAATTATGTTGAAATTTTAAGAATACAGTTGCTGTTGCTTTTTCTTTGTACATTTATTAATCATTCTGTAAGCTGCACCCTTTTAATTCTACCCCATGGCGGGGCCCTTGCTGACTGGTCAGTTTTCTAGTTTCCATTGTTTACTTCATTTATTTGTTGGGCGACAGATGATGTTTATATTCTTTCTAGAAATACATAATTCTATTGAGATGTTTGTAAACATAATTAATTTAGATCTATATTCAAAATTCTTTATGAGAAATTTTTAAATATCTGAAGACTTGAAAATGAAACAAACAGTTGTACATTTTTCTATGGCATAATATGTTATGCAGTCCTAAAATTGCAGATGCTGCAGATTTAAAGACCAGAAATTAATATGACATTGCATGCATTCTATGCATGTGTTGTGAATTCAAAGATATGACTTTTAATACTTCTTCAGGTTGTATAAGATACACTGGCATTCCCCAATGTGAAGGCTAACCATATATCATTGTACATACTCAAGGACTTTGCAGCGTCTTTTGATCTGGTTTTGAAGCGTGGTTGAGGGATACATTTACTGCAATAAATCACTGTCTAATTGTGCATAACTCTGCTCAGATTCGTTTTGCCAGACCACCACAATAGACTAGGGTGTATCAGGTCTTCTTTTGACTAAAGGATTTTCAAAATGTGGTTTCAAAAGTCACTTCAATGCAGATTTTCAAGTCAGAATTTGATATCAAGCTTCAATTCCAGGGATTGCATGTTTAAAGATACCTATGACTTTGGTTTTGAATACATTAGTAAAGCAGTCTACATGTAATGGTAATACATATATATACTTTCATTATCCGGCATATTTGATGATCTATAATCACATGACAAGTTATGCAAGGCAAGTACCTCAGTATTAAATGATATGTATAATGCTTCATCACGCGTCACCAGACCTTATATGGAATTAGATTTTGCAACAAAAGCTGATGGAACTAAAAAAAATTTGAGAACTATCACACCTTCGTATATAGAAAAAGAAAGGGGATCTGTTAAATGGTATCATATTTGATCTCAAGTTAATAGCTTAAGTTACCTATTTGAATAAGTTCTTATCCAGTTTCACCATCCCAAGTCCTTGATACACTTGAACAAGAAAGAAAGGTGCATTTTTCATTATTTAATTCAAAGACAAAAAAGCCATGGTGCAGAATTACGACCCAAAGTTGGAATGTGGCACTTTGTCTTTGACCCAGTGACCTACTGCTGTAGACGGATTAAGCCAGTACCTACCCATGCTGCTGTAGATATTTAAAGTAAATTATCTGGAGGGAACTATTGGAGCATGCATCATTTAAAGATTAACTGCCCAGCGTAGCTTGGACATGTGTATTTGAAAGAAAAGGGACAGGGTGCTTATTGCGTGCTTTGTAACCTTCAAATTTTGCTAGGATAATAATCTCAATTTTTTTTTTATCCAGTAAATTAAGAGTCAGCATTATGTTTTACTGGTCTAAATGATATAGACCAGTATACAATAAAACAGTGTTTCATAAAGATTTTCAAAAATTGTAATACATTGATGCCATGGCATTTTCTTTCCAAAACAGAAAGAGGTATGCGGAGTCTTTGGTTTTAGACTCCCCTTTTTCACCAACATGCACCATATAACATAAAAATAAGTGGTACATGCACCATATAACATAAAATTTTATTGGTCTCAAAATGTGTGGAATGTGACGGAGGACAGTATTATCTCTTCATCAAAATGTCTGCCAAGTGACACCGATAATGTGATACATCATTTCATATTTCACACTTACTCACTTAACTGCTTCTTATGATGAATTTTTTATTTTAATTGTGGTAACTTCTATAATTCACCCTAAAATTTAGCTTACCTGTTCATCAATATACCCGAAACAGCTTTGACACTTTCTTCTTGATTAAATATGCTTAAACCTTGGAACCTGACTAGAATTGACCTTTTTACATGAAAAAAAAAATTTCCATGGAAAATTAAAAGGCGGTCAATTAGTGTAAATTTTATTTGCCCACAAGAAAATCTTGTAATGTCACACTGACTCTTAATTTGAAAAATCATTTATTTCAGGGTCAGTAAGCCCCTGCACTAGGATATATTTAAATTGAAAAAAGGGAACAGGGGGAAGGGGGTTACAATTTTTTCAAATGACTATTCAATTTACATGTATTATGGAACCCTAAAACTATTCATCTCTTGGCTTGTAATTAAGATATTTGAACAAATTATTGTTTTATAATATGTAACATATTTATTGTTCAATATAATAGCTATTTTTGTCCATCATTTAATTTTGAAAGTAAAGGGCTGCAAACTTATACCTATATTTTGCACTCATGGAATATATTGAGCAGTGATGAATCTTTTTTGTGCCAACACCTATTGTGACACCTGTACCTCTGTTTATATGGTTTCATTGGACAGATCAATGTACATTCTGCCTTTGGATTTGAATCTAATGCCTAGGTCACATTTAAGCCGATGGTCGGGCGACTAAATTTTTCTTGTCATTTCGGCTGTAAGATCATGATCGGCCGACACAAGTTCGGGTGACACGGAGTAGTCACATTAATTCCCAGGAACACCAATGACTTGGATAAAAAACACAAACTAACTTTTTTCAGAAATCGGCAATATTTTTCATAGATCTATATTCAGATAAGTGACATGGGTAATGTTTGGAAGGCAAAGTGGCAGAATTTTGTAAGATTGAGACTCAATGTTGAAAATGTGTGCAAAATTTTACATAAAATTGCATAAAAAAACGACAAATGGTGCACATCCAAACAGCAAAGAATGCTTAAGATTTTTTTATACCTTACAGATTAATTATTTATGTTATTTCCTTTTAAAAAAATATATATATCAATCCATGCATCAAAATTTTGTTTGTGTTATGTATCCTTAAAAGGTTAAATATTCACAAGTCGGGCAATCGTCGGCCGATCATCGAGCTTTGAGCTACAGTTTGATTTTAACTGTTGGCCGCAATTTTGGACACCCTTGTTGTCGAACGAAGGACGACCGACTTAATAAACTGACCGCCGATGGTCGGACAATGATCGAAGGTATGTCGACGGATAACTTCAATTGAGGAAATCGGCTACCGATGCAGAAAAAATTATAACTTGGACCGAGGACATAAATTGGTCGGCCGACAAAAAAAGAGGTCAAAATCGGGCAAGACTAGGGCCGATGAACTGCCGACTGTCACCCGAAGAATCCCATTTTTGCTTCTAAACCTGTCGGCCGTTGGTCGTTTTTGGAAATGTGACTGGGGTTTAAGGATCAACTCCTTACTCTGTGACTCTAGAGCAAATGCTCTAACCCCTGTGTCACATGGGCCACTGAAATAGTTAAATCTCATGAGCATGTAATTTTGACTGCTGCTTAATAGTGAGAACTGGATATGTAATTCATCACTGAGCATGCTTTTTGGGCAATATACATGCTCATTTATAATAATGCAAAAGAATTTATGTATCTTAATCCACTATCATTCCTTCTTTTTCAGTTAATGCAGTGTTCAGGACGACTAAAGATGCGAGCCACGTCTAGTCGATCCAACAGTTACTCTATAGACGGTCTGATTTGTATTTGTCGTCCAATGCAAACCAATTCCATCATGGAAATTAAACTAGATGGCAGCATGTTCATCAGTCGTCATGACCTGGGCATGAAGTTTACATTTTGTGATCCAAGGTAGGCTTATTGCAATATCATATTGCTACTGGTATCCTCATGATAACCATTATATTGCAGTAGTATTTAATAAAATTTATAGTGTACAATGTATATCACATTTTGAGAAGGGCTTTAGAATAATTATACTTGAAAAGTGGTTATTAGTGTTAAGTTTGGCTCCTGCTATTTAAGAATGAAATATGAGTGTAAAAAATTTTGGTGTATATACATGTATTGGATAAGTTGTCAAGGGATGTAATTTTTAAAAAGTTGAAAATCATGTCACATTATCCATTCAAGCAACTTGTTCATTTGCCTTGCACCACAGTTATGAAGATTATACAATGACAAGATACTCTGTCTCAGTTGACAGTGATCAGATATGATACAAATCTGAGTCTCATGAGAGTTTTTATTGCTGTCTTGGCACCGTGGGGTTATACTAATGAGTGCAAAAGACAGACAGACTAGGAACCTTTAAATTCCCAGTACTAAATCATTATTTAGTGACATCAATGTAAGAAACTGTAATGCCAAGTTACATAGGATTAAGAGATTTTGGTTTCTTTTTTCAGCTCCATAAAAAAAGGAAATAATCATTGCTATTTAGTTTCCCATAATGAAATGGGTGATGAAGAAATATGATTTAGCTCTGTGGAAGCATTTTTACATTTCAGTCCTGTTTACAATATTTTTTTTCTTCTGACGTGTGTGTTTTCTTTTTTCTATCCTGAACGATTTTTAAACAATAAGATGTTTTTGTTTATCTGGTATCTTTTGCAGCAACCTTGGCTGAAGTTTCTGATTTCTGAATGTAAATTTCAACCTCACTGACCCCGGGTGAAGCTAGTACTTTGTTGATCTCTCAGCATCATGTGCTTTTAACATTGTATCTTGCATACGCAATAGTCCTAGCTTTACAAAGAGTACTATATGTGGTGTTAGATGTCATTTTAGTACAACAGTGTTATTTTCTCTAAATGTATGGAACATTTGATCTGGGTGCCCAAGAAATTCTGCCTCACCATTCATTTACATACTTCATTATGGTAATAGTTGCTAAATGCCAAGCAGTTAATGGCAATTTTATTTTAAGCTGTGATGTATTTTATTGTTTGTGTATCTACAATTTGAATAGATCATCCTCTGATATAATACTTAATAAGATACCCAGAGAATTTCTACTAAAGCTCCAGAACGCCACCTCTTAACACCAGAGTTCACTGCTCCGGAGGGATTTTAATATTCACGAAAGGCTTTCAAAATGATGAAGTTGTTTTGGTTCTTTGGAACTTGTCTCCTTCCTATCTCTCTCTCCCATCAGAATTAGTCTGATTTTATTTCAGTTTGTTAACCTTAAGACCAGGGATTCTCACTTAGGTGCTGACTGAAAGCTATAGTTTATTAAGGAGTTTTAGGAAATAATTTGTCACAGTAACTTTTTTATGAAAGACACCATGCAATCTTCACACAAAATATACATATAGGCCACTAGAATCAGAAGACTTTTCATCCAGTTTTAGCTCACATGTCCCAGAGGCCAGGTGATTTTAGGCCATTTCTCATGACTAGTGCTGTTAGTCATTTCTCTTCTGAACAATAATACAGATCTCAAATCTAACTATACATTGTCTATATATTTTCAACTTCTCTTGTTTATTTGCTAGAAAAACAAAGCCACTGTTAGAATAACTATATACTGGTACTGTATACAGGAAATTTTTGCCCTTTGTTTTATTTTTACCCTATTCAGATAGTTGAATTCTCACTATGAGCCCTATGTACTGTAAATCATGTTTTATTCGCGAGAACTTAATTTTCGCATAATTACGCGAGACAATGAGCTCGCGAAAATTTCATTCTCACGTTTAAAAGTATTCCTTATGATTATATTTAAAAGTATTCCTTACGATTATATAGAGGAAAAACAACAATTTGTGAAAATTATGTTTCACTAATAAAGAGTCCATGACTATCTCGCAAAAATAAGGTGTTGCGAAAATTTAGTGATCTACAGTATTTCAGTAAATTCAGTATTAAACATGGGCCTAACAAATAGTTGGTATGTAAAAGTAAAGTCTTTATAATTTACAAAATACTGACTTAAAACAACATTGTGGAAAATAACTGAAAATACCTGCAACATCAACTTATCTGTCAATAGCCTGCCTCAGTTTAAAAATTGATCATACTCAGTGTATGCTCTTTGGAATTGGATAAGTTAGGAGATGCTAACACCATATGCAGTTGATAATGAAGCATTACTGCATAAATAAGGAAGATTGACGATGGAGAAACTGAAGTTATCTCATCTGTCATCCAATTTTATTGTTAGCTGTCTTTATCATCTTTAGTCTGTAAAACAATATGAAACAGATGTGGCAGACTCCATGGCATCTTAATCTTTTAGATTTTAGAAGATTTAGATCTTCTAGTGCTAATTCACGATTATGCCAACAATTCAATGCCCAGAGATAATGCACTAAATTTTTAATACTCTTATTTATGTACCTGTGCAGTCTTAAAGAGGGTTTTCCACAAAAAACAGAAGACTCTTAGAACCATCCACAAAAAATTTGAAATTCCTGTTTTCTGAGGAGAGAGGGTTTGTAGGTCCTCAAAGATTTATCAGGAAGCATACAGTGGATATTATAGATTTTGCAGAAAATGTATGAAATCATCCCAATCAAGATTCAATTTAGAAAGATTGTTAATTTTCATGAATAAAATAATTCCTTTTTAAAAAAGGATTTTTAGCTCACCTCAACGAAGTTGGGGGAGCTTATGTAATACCCTCGGTGTCGGCGTCGGTGTCGGCTTCCCAGGTTAAGTTTTTTGGAGCAGTTTTCTTTTTAAGTACTTCTATGTCCTATATTGATTAGACATGCATGGAAGATGCTTCTAGTGTGTTTCATTGTAACAGTCAAAGTTTCAGATGCTGCAATTTCAGCAAAGGAATGACCAGGTTAATGTTTTTGGAGCAGGTTAACATTTTTGGTGCAGTTTTTGGTGTAGGTCTCATTTCCAGGGAACAATAAGCCCTATGTTGACCAAACTTGCATGGATGATACATCTAAGGATGTACACTACCAGGCTTGCTTCAGATGCTGAATCTGACCTACATTTTCCGGTTGAGTAAACAGGTTAATGTTTTTGGTGCAGGTTTCATTTCCAAGATACTATGAGCCCTATAATGACCAAACTTGCATGGATGATACATCTAAGGATGCATACTGCCAGACTTACTTCGGATGCTGGATCTGACCTATATTTTCCGGATGAGTGAACAGGTTAAAGTTTTTGATGCAGGTTTCATTTCCAAGTAACTGTAAGCCCTATGTTGACCAAACTTGCATGGATGATACATCTAAGGATGCAAACTATCAGGCTTGCTTCGGATGCTGAATCTGACCTACATTTTCCGGTTGAGTGAACAGGTTAACGTTTTTGATGCAGGTTTTATTTCTAAGTTACTATGAGCCCTATAATAACTTAACTTGCATGGATGATACATCTTAGAATTCATACTACCAGGCTTGCTTCAGATGCTGAATCTAACCTACATTTTGTGGATGAGTGAAAAGTTTAGTTTTTGATGCAGATTTCATTTCCAAGTAACTATGAGCGCCCTATAATGCGAAAACTTGCATGGATGATACATCTTTGGATGCACACTAATGGACTTGCTTCGGATGCTGAATTCGGCATACATTTTTCAGATAATGGACCAGGTAAAAGTTATGGGTGCAGGTCTATTACCAAAAAACTATAAGGCTTATATAACATTGTATAAACCAAACTTGCACAAATAATGCATCAAGGGATGAAAACTCTCAAATTTGCTTCAGATGCTGGATTTTAGTTACATTTTCATGAAAAAGAACTAGTTTGAAGTTTTTATATAGGTCTATTCCAAAGTATCAGATCAAAATTGCATAAATATTTTCATTTTGGGATGTACACTTTTTAACTCAATTTATCCGTTGTCTGTCGTTGTTGTCGTCGTCGTTGTTGTTGTTGTAAACTTTTCACATTTTCATCTTCTTCTCAAGAACCACTGGGCCAATTTCAACCAAACTTGCCACAAAGCATCCTTGGGTGATGGGGATTCAAATTTGTTCAAATGAAGGACCACGCCCTCATTCAAGGGGAGATAATTGGGAATTAATGAAAATTTGGTGGTATGTTTTAAAAATCTTCTTCTCAAGAACCACTGTGCCAGGAAAGATGAAACTTAATGGGGAAACATTCTCAGGTAGTGTAGATTCAATTTTGTTCAAATCATGCCCCCCGGAGGTAGGGCGGGGCCACAATGGCCACCAGAGTTTTACATAGAAATATATAGGAAAATTCTTTAAAAATCTTCTTCTCAAGAATAACAAAGCCATAATTGATCATATTTATATGGAAGCATCCTCAGGTAGTGTAGATTCAATTTTCTTCAAATCATGACCCCCAGGGGTAGGGCGGGGCCACAATGGCCGACCAAAGTTTTACATAGAAATATATAAGAAAATTCTTTAAAAATCTTCTTCTCAAGAATAGCAAAGCCATAATTGATCATATTTATATGGAAGCATCCTCAGGTAGTGTAGATTCAAATTTGTTCAAATCATAACCCTGGGGGTAGGGCGGAGGCAAAATGGCCGATCAAATTTTTACAAAAATATAGAAATAGATAGGAAAATTCTTTAAAAATCAGAGGTGAGCTCTGTAATCTCTGATTACCTATGTTTAAAATAATAACTTTAATTTTTAAAATAGTAAGTTTTTTCACTCTTGAATAAATCTCTACCCTTCATTTTTACATGGATTTATAGTTATTCATAGGGATCGTTGACCTTTTATAAAGTTAATTTTTCTTCTTATAGATTTCCACATGTAAAAAAAAAAAAACAACTGACACCTTTGTATATTTCAATAAATGTATTTTCATTTTACTATTAATGGAGGTGGCAAAATTATGTACTATGTATTCCACATTTCACTGTTGAAAAATGAAGTATTTTTTAAATACCTTTTTGGACTAATGGGACGACAAATAGATGTACAAGCATTAAATGAATGTTCCTCATATTTCATGGTACAGAAAAGATATTATAAATTGATATATTCCTTTTAAGATATACAAAAGCTGTTGCAGATTATTTTCATTAAAAAATTGTGCAAATTGCAGCTTTCTTTATGCAGTTTTGTTAGGGTGTTAGATTAAATTACTCATCTTTTCTCTGATCCTTTTGTATGCAGTTACACAAAAAAAGACAAAAGGATAAAAACTTCAGGGGGGAAAAGTGAAACCACCTTAAATATGTTTATTTTTTGCATTTGGAAAAAATCAAAAGTATTTGAGAATTTATACTTTTTGAAATCTCAAGGCTAAAAATGTTGATGACTATATATATTTAATTTTTCAAGTGAGATAAATTTACTGTTGGTCATAATTTTTCAAAGTGAACAGAACACTAGTTCTATCAGTAATATCTTTATTACAAAAGAATATGATATTTTTTGACTTTGAAAAATGTTACATGAGGCTTCAGTGAAACTTCTCTCAAAAATCACTCGTTCACTTGTTTTTGAGTTAGTAGTGAAATAAGAACAGCCGGGGGACACAGGACACCTATTTGTTTGAAATTCTAAATATTGCTGACAGTTGATGAATTGTAAATACAGTGTAAGTAGTTGATACCCAACAAGACTCCAGTCTAATGGTCCTCACATTTCAGCCATCAAGTATTTAAATTTTAGAGATTTATCATGTGGCTTGATAAAATCAATTGTATATCAAATAACTAATACATTTTAATCTGGCAACTTTAATGAGTGTCTTTGACAGTTATCCTACAAACTGTTGTCTGTGCTATGATGTGTTACCAAGTCCTCCCTCCTTATTGTGTTGGATGGAGTGCTGAGTGTACGAGACTTAGCCTCTCAGGAGCTTGGCTGTCATTACAGCAGCATGGCTGTCAGGCTTAGTACTGCTATCAGCTGATGTAGACTTACTATAGACCGCTATCTGGATATTTTACAGGATTGCTACATTGATTGGATATGATCCAGAGGAAGTAATTGGGAAGACAGCCTATCAGTTCCATAATCCACTTGATGCTAGACTCGTGGGAGATTGTCACCAGAAGTGTAAGCTCACTATTTATTTGCTTTTTTTTAAGAATAAATTAAGAAAAAAAAAATTTCTTGTTTTAAATCTTAATTTACAACTGATTAAGAATTTTTTTTATTTTAATATAATTTTCAAATCTTTGAAATTATTTTCAAGATTTGAAATAAGATGGCATTCAAAGATATGATGGAAACATGTTTTAAACCTTTTTCAAAATTATCTCATATGTAATTTTCCAAAAATCCTATTACTTTTAAATGGTTTTATAATTTTTAATTGAATAAGAAAGATTAAATCTTAGAGCATAAAGAGCAAGAGGATTTTGCATGGAGTATATATATCTAAACTCTGATTGGCTGAATATTTCTAAAGGACTTCAAGATGAAAGGAAAACTTTGCAATTTGATTGGTTGTTCTTGAGAGTTCTACGAAAACATTATCATATTAATGTTATAACAACTTATATCATATGGTTTATGTATATTACTTTGCATTTGCAAATTTCCCTGCTACTGTGAGGTAGAGAATTTGAATTTATTTTTCAAAAGGTATACATGTATTTACTGATACATGTATATGTATTTAAAATATTATAGTCAATAGTATATTTTTACTTATAGGCTAATAAAATTATTTTATTTTTCAGTGATTGTAAAAGGAACTTCAGTAAGCAAATATTATCGCTTCATTGGGAAAAATTGTGAGTGGGTTTGGATGCAAACCAGAGCAACTATTATATACAATACAAGTAATGTGCCACAGTACATTGTCTGCATGAATTACATAATCAGGTCAGTAGAAATTGTAACTCTTCTTTTCAATCTTTTCTAGTTATTTTGAAATTTTTTAAGGATTTTTGTATTATTGCTTGTGCTTTGTGTTCCCCCCCCCCCTAAAAAAAGAAATGTAATAGATTATGACATATTTAAGCTTTAATTGAGAGAAAAATGTATGCAAGATATTTTTAATATCAAATTAAAGAAATTTCCTTTTAAGTAAGATTTAACTAATTGATTCTTTAACCATACTAGGTTAGGACAATATTCTTGGAATTTATTTTTGAAATTGATAAATAAACATTTTTTTAATTAAATTAATTAATTTGTTATACTCATTTCAGTGAAGAAGAAGGGGAGCAATTCCTCAGAATGCAGCAGGGTAACATTCTCCAGAGCCTGGATGGACACCAAGCCATCGAGCCAACCAAAGTTCACAAGATGGATGACCATCACAGTGACATTGGATACTGGAGTGGAAATAGTCCATACTCCAGCCATCATCCAAGTCCAGGCTCCACGGATGGGCAGAGAGCAGAGTCTCCGGAAACCATGCCGTCTGGTAACGAGTTTCCAACAGGAGTGTTCCAGCAGGTCGTGAATACTATTGACTCAGAGTGCAGTCGTCCTGATGAAGTGATGAAAATATTAGAAGAGATCGAGAAAGAAGGACAGAAGCACTCAGCCAGCCAGGTCTCATGTCCAAAATCATACAATCAAATGGACACAGATTCATCGTCCAATCAGATTTCACAATATCAAAATCTTGTGGACAGTAATTCTCAGCCTGTGAGAAATGACACCTTAAATAACTTTCAAACAACTTCAGAGTCTAGTGGATTTTGTGACAACAGTGCTGGAGTTCCAATCCAAGCTCTTCTCAATGTCCAGATTGCTGCCCTTAACTCCTCAGACTTTGTCCAAAATAGTGCTGTATCGGAAGCATTGCCTCAGGAAATAACTGATTTCTGTATGCAGTACTGTAATTCCGTGATGGATCAGCACACCCAACAGGTTCTTTCTGAACTTGGACACAATAACTTTGTGGCAGACTTTGAACAGTTTAATAATGAAAGTGAAGTGAATGGTATCAACCGCTGTGGCATGAATTTGAATACTGCTGAAACAATGAGTGGACAGATACCTGTGTCAGACACTGGCACCATGATGAAGATGCCACAGACAGTAGCCCCATCAGTAGCTTCACCACAGTACCCCCTACAAGTGGATTCACACATTGCATTGCCAAGTACAACTGCTGCCCCCTACCAATACCCCCTATCCACTGATTCCTGGATAGCCTCTCCTCCCTCATATGTCTCTCACCAGTCCCCAATGTCGTCTGCCTGTTCACCATTATCATCTGTTTGTTCTCCCATGTCTGCAACATCACCATACCCTTGCAGTCCCCATGTACCAGAAGTTGCAAGCTTTATGAACCCAGAAGTTACCACTGCACCTTCCAACATTCCTTTTACAAATTCCAACTTGATGTCCACTCCAGCTAATGGCTTGATGTCCCCAAACTCTTACATGGGTCAACCTTTACCATCTCTCATGAACACCAGCAGAGAGAACTCTCCAACAACTCAAAGGCATACAAGGGATTCAAATATGACTGAGCTAGAAAAAGTGCTCCGTGGTTGTTCCACAAATGCAAGTATTTTTACACCCAAAAACAGTGATAAGGAGTCCCAGAATTCTACACTCTTGCAAAAGATGCTTACAGGTCAGTTAACGGGAGAGTCCTACCGTGCAATGGAGAGACAAAGGAAGAAGTCACTTAATTACCAATCATAATTAAAGTAATCATCTTTGTTCATTAACTTGGACTTTGTGTGGGTTAATGCATGTGTTCAGTGACATTCTTAACTTTAATAAGTTATACTTTAAATACTTATGTATTTTTTTAACATTCTGTTTTTGATAATTATTATATATGATTATATAATATGATTATTGTTTAGATACATTTTTTGCAGAAAACTTTGAAGGGGGTGGGTACTTTTATTTTTGAGAGAATTTTGCCTTCATTATTAAAGAAAGAGATGAATAGAATCTTTTGTATTTGCAAAGAGTTCTTGTATGTGTTTTTTTTAATGGTTTGGTTTGTATGTTTCAAAATTTTCGTTACAGATTTTTTAAAATTTTAAATGATGATATAAATGAATTTCATATAAATTTAGCACTTGAAGTTAATGCTGTATGTGCACTTATTTTTAGTATTTCTGCAATGCTTTCTACACTTTATGGAAAGATGCTGCTAATTCATGATTTGGTCTGGGCTGTAGCACTAAAGTTTGGTTTATAAAATAAAATGCACAAAACAGTATTTAAATTAATTTGTCAATAGAACAGATTGCCTTGCACTTTCAGGTATTATTAGAAATGTTTCCAAAAGAAAAAGAAATAATGTTGATGGCTTTGTAATTGCTCTTACACTGTAAATAATGCTCATTTTGGACATTCCTACTTTAGTGGTCTCCCCTGCTTCAGAGGTTTTCCTTAACATCATGCATGTTTAATGATCTCAGTTCTTGTAAGATGAGTTTATAGTCCTTTTCATTATTATTTTTTTTAGATCTGTCTATACAGCTTTCACTCAAGACAATTCCAATATACTTTCATATGGAATTAAACATTTGAACACTATGTGTCCTGAAAACTTTTAATTAACATGTAAAACTACATGTTTATTTCATGACTTGTATAATCAGCCTGTGATTTTTGTTCCATACTTTTATGGCACAAATTAAATTGTTGATATATTTGTTACTGTCCAAATTTATATAATCACATAGATCATTGCATCAGGCATATTTTCATTTATCTTATTCACTCATATGATATTATAAGTTGTATTCATTGACCATAGATATTCACTTGTGAAACATATCTTTATTCATTTATTTATCATAATGTTTAATCATGTTATACTAAAAGGAACATTGTTAGAGTTCACTGGAGATTAATGAAGAAACATTTGACACACACAAAATTTGATGTACAGCCAGGAAAAGCAATAACTTAAATTTGTTTCTTATTAAAACCATATACATTTACTAACTGTCTGTTTTTAGTAGACAGGAAAAAAGCAATGTTTTTGGGTTGTCCTGAATTAAATTACATTGTAGCTAATTTGTATGTTTGAAGGGAATAAATTTAGGTTGTTTCAGTGTTTTAAAGAATTGAAAGGTGATACTGTTAAAAAAATTAATTTGAAGTGCGAGTGTGTACTGTGAAATCATTAGTCTTTGTGAGGGTTTAGTTTTCAAAGTGTAATGAGACCCATGAAGTCATATCTTCCACCAATTTTAAATATATGACAATTCTGCACTTTTTCATCCACAAAACAAAACCATTTGAACCAATTTTCCCCCATAATTTATGAAAATTTGACACTACGACAATTCATGAATATGTGATTTTACAATATACAAGGGGGTGATATGGTTGGAACTTGTAAAATTTCCTTTGATTGTAATTCCAGGTACATGGATGAAAAACATCCCTGGGGGTAGTATTGAGTAGTAAAAGCTTTGAGGGACAGTATACATTTTCAAGCAGAAGTTCTGTGATTTATTTGGCTGTGCTATTGTTTTACCACTTTGTTGTTGATTCCACTCAGTTGACACTTTTCTACATTCTGTTTTGAGACCACCACGCTGTTTTTGTACTGTGTGCTGGATAGTAATATTTTATTTACATGTTTCATATTTATCATTGTATATTTTTACATATTATAATCTGACATGTTTATATTCATATGCAAAACTCTCTTCAGAAAAACTGTATTTTTAGACTGACATATTATTTTTGTAATACATTCAGTATGTATAGTGCATATATATATTTCCCCATTAATAGATTACCAGTAGATTAATCTAACATGCTTGACGGTTATCATGATATTTTTTTAAATGATTATTTTCTAAGGGTTTGAACAATTTTTAAAAAAGAGCGTGTTTCTTGTGCAAGTTTTCTTTTCAATCTTGCAGAAAAAAAGTTACATGTACGTTTAACAATTTTTCTAAATTTTGAATATTTTTTTTTTTACATTTATTGTGGAATTACATAAATTTTGTAAACAAGGCATGTACTGCAATACCTCTTCTGTTCATTCAACATAACCATCTGAAAATTTTATCTTGTGGACTGTTCCTGATTCATTTTTATTTCTTTGTTCTGTGTGTTTGACTTAAGTTAGGTTAACAGTCTCTTTAATTTTTGGATTAATACTTTACTGGTTTTGGTTGTATTAAGACTGATTTCTTTTGAATATCTGCTGGACAGATTTCAGATTAAATAATTTTGATTGCAAAACTTTGCACCTGTTAAACTGATAAATTTCCAGAAAAGACTGCAAAACAGACCCCCTCCCCCCAAATTTGAATTTTTCCTCAAACTATACTGAGTTTTTCCAGATATGGATAAAGGATTATTAGGGGACAATCAAAACCATGTCAGTTAATAAGAACGTCTTTTGCTGGTTCAGTGCCTCCCCTCTGGTATGGGTTGTATCTTCATGGTTAGTGCTTGGTTTCATATCCCACACCTTTTTGTTGCTCAAGCTAGCTTATTTTGAATTATTTATGACAATCAGTTGGTGACCCTGCTATTAAGAGGCTTTTTCTAATTTTCATATTCATTATTATATACACATTTTCTGAGATGTTCTAACTTGTTTTATGGTCATTCACATAGACATATTGTGATTATTTTTGTGATTAAAATTACAGAACTATATTTTTTGTGTTGTTCTTCTTGAGCTGGACGTGAAAACATCTCAACTTCTACATGCGGAAAGTAATCAAAGTATATACATATGATCAATAAAGTAAATTGAGTAAATCAGATATGGTCTGTAATTTTTTTTAAGAGGGCTAGGGGGTTTTGGTCATTTTTAGACTAGTATATTGATCTCCTTTGGAAGAAGAATTCCATATGAAAATTCAAAATTGTCGTCACCGGATCCAGATCCATCCATGATGTTATAAAACATACCATCTATATCATCACTCAGGAACAGATGATATCTGAAATCAATTAATCTATCATCATATCATATTACATAAAGGTGCATGTAAGTGCCTTTGGCAAAGTGCACACAATTCTCTTTCATCTCTCACACTGAAATCCCTAGAAAAGATGTACCTTGTTGGACTACACAGGATAATGCCCACATACTTCCCCGGATTGTAAGTCGAGTTTTCATGTACATGTCTCCATAGCAAGCATTAAAGGAATCGTCAAAAGTAAAGTCCTGTTTAACAATGCAATTTGGATCCACGAAACAGGTCTCGATGCCAACTAAAAGTGATACAAAATTACGCAATCTCATCAGATAAAGATCTTGGGGAAAAAGTTCTTTTTATGATTTGTACGAAACTTCTTTAGTATAGATGTATTCGTTTTTCCAATTTTTTAATTCATATTCATATCTGTTCTTAAGGTTCATTTTCAAATATTTACATTTGCAAATGTTTTCCTTTATATAACACTACTGAAGGCAAGCGTTTTTATAACTGTGTAAATACAGGTATGGGGTCAAGAGGTCATAGATGTGCGTTTGGATAAACGTTCGACGTAATTTCTCTGTGACGTCATACCTTCTGGGAGATGGTTGGTGGTGTCATATTTTTAAGGGTCGACGCGCGTTTAGTGGATTACATACATGCCGTTGGGTTTGAAAAATAAACGCATTTCACACGTTAAAAGTAACAATCAGGCAAATATAAAGTATGAATAAGTCACAAATGTAAATATAAGTAATAAGGTATCATTTTTTGAGTTTTATTGAGATGTAAAACGGGTTGGCACATGATCAAATCTTCCATAAAGCCCTTCGGGCTTTATGGTATTTGATCACGTGACCAACCCGTTTTACATCTCAATAAAACTCAAAAAATGATACCTTATTTCTTAAATATTTGGTCTTTTAGAATGCATTTTGCGCATTAGGAGTGTTTATATTAAAGTTACAAAACATAAACAAATGACTTGGACATACTGTCACACGTTCACTCTCTCTTATTAGTCTGAAATATCTGATGTTTTCCAGGCTTTCATGCTTGGCAAGTCAAATATCAAAATCAGAAAAAAGCCTGGAAAATGTCATATAGACTGTCTCTTTGTATACCCAGTATGATACTTAAGCTCCATGGTTAGGGCACCCATTGGGCATTAGGGTCTATGGTTAGGGCACCTGTTGGGATATTAGGGTCTATGGTTAGGGCACCTGTTGGGGTACAATGTATTAGGGTCTGTGGTTAGGGCACCTGTTGGGATATTAGGGTCTATGGTTAGGGCACCTGTTGGGGTACAATGTATTAGGTTCTATGGTTAGGGCACCTGTTGGGATATTAGGGTCTATGGTTAGGGCACCTGTTGGGGTACAATGTATTAGGGTCTGTGGTTAGGGCACCTGATAGGTCATTAGACTTCATGGTTAGGGCACCTGTTAAGTCATTAGGCTTCATGGTTAGGGCACCTGTTAAGCCATTAGACTCCATGGTTATAGGGCACCTGTTAAGCCATTAGACTCCATGGTTATAGGGCACCTGTTATAGGGCACCTGTTAAGCCATTAGACTCCATGGTTATAGGGCACCTGTTAAGCCATTAGACTCCATGGTTATAGGGCACCTGTTAAGCCATTAGACTCCATGGTTATAGGGCACCTGTTAAGCCATTAGACTCCATGGTTAGGACACCTGTTAGGGCATAACACTCCATGGTTAGGGCACCTGATAGGTCATTAGACTTCATGGTTAGGGCACCTGTTAAGTCATTAGGCTTCATGGTTAGGACACCTGTTAAGTCATTAGACTCCATGGTTAGGGCACCTGTTAAGCCATTAGACTCCATGGTTATAGGGCACCTGTTAAGCCATTAGACTCCATGGTTATAGGGCACCTGTTAAGCCATTAGACTCCATGGTTATAGGGCACCTGTTAAGCCATTAGACTCCATGGTTAGGACACCTGTTAGGGCATAACACTCCATGGTTAGGGCACCTGTTAGGGCATTAGACTCCATGTAGGGCACCTGTTAGGGCATTAGACTCCATGGTTAGGGCACCTGTTAGGGCATTAGACTCCATGGTTATAGTTCACCTGTTAGGTCATTAGGCTCCATGGTTATGGCACCTGTTAAGTCATTAGACTCCATGGTTAGGACACCTGTTAGGGCATAACACTCCATGGTTAGGGCACCTGTTAGGGCATTAGACTCCATGTAGGGCACCTGTTAGGGCATTAGACTCCATGGTTAGGGCACCTGTTAGGGCATTAGACTCCATGGTTATAGTTCACCTGTTAGGTCATTAGGCTCCATGGTTATGGCACCTGTTAGGGCATTAGACTCCATGGTTAGGACACCTGTTAAGTCATTAGACTCCATGGTTAGGGCACCTGTTAGGGCATAACACTCCATGGTTAGGGCACCTGTTAGGGCATTAGACTCCATGGTTAGGGCACCTGTTAAGTCATTAGACAGCATGGTTAGGGCACCTGTTAAGTCATTAGACAGCATGGTTAGGGCACCTGTTAGGGCATTAGACTCCATGGTTAGGGCACCTGTTAAGTCATTAGGCTCCATGGTTTTGGGACCTGTTAGGTCATTAGGCTCCATGGTAAGTGCACCTGTTAAGTCATTAGGCTCCATGGTTAGGGCACCTGTTAGGGCATAAAGCTAAATGGTAAGGGCATCCATAAGGGCATTAGGCTCCATGGTAAGTGCACTTGTAAGGGCATTAGGCTTCATGGTTAGGGCACCCATTGGGCATTAGGCTCAATAGTTAGGGCACCTATTGGGGCATTAGACTCCATGGTTAGGACAACTGTTAGGTCATAAGACCCCATGGTTAGGGCACATGTTAAGGCATTAGGCTTCAAGGTTTGAACACCCATATGGACATTAGACTAAGTAGTTAGGACACCTTTATGGGTATTAAGCTCTATGGTAAGGGCACTTGTGAGGGCATTAGGCTTCATGGTTAGGGCAACCATTGGGCATTAAGCTCTATAGTTAAGGCACCTGTTTGGACATAAGGTTTCATGGTTAGAGCATTAGACTCTAGAGTTTTGGCTCCTGTCTGGGCAATAGGCTTTATAGCCACGGCAACCATTAGGGCATTAGGCTGTATAATTAGGGCAGCTGTTAAGGCAGTAGGTTCTATAGTTACAGCACCTGTTTGGGCAATGGGTACCATGATTAGGGCACCTGTTAGGGCATTAGGCTCTATAGTAAGGGCAACCATTAGGGTATTAGGCTCTATAATTGGGCACTTTTCAGGTCACATATTCGGTTCTTTCAAACAACAAAAATTATATATAACGTTTATCTATAACAACAGAGTACCGGTATTTACATGTAAATCCCCCCCCCCCCCCCCCGACAAAAAAAAACATAACACATTTATAAGGTATTCTATTGATCTATGATCATGAATTGATGTATGATGCAGTAAATAAAATAGTTTTCCATGCAAGCAAACATTATAAACTGAAAAAATTAATCTTGTGGACCTGATATAGGCAGTGCCCCTACTTACAACAAAAAAGGTTTATTTTTCGTAGATTTTTCAAATCATCCCTTTACAAGTCCACTTAGTCCAGATGGACATAAAACGTGACCTTGAGCTGGGAAAAAAGTTTTTTTTATTGTATGTACATTTGTGTCATATTTAAGGACTGGGAAAATAATTTTACAAATGAAAAAATGTATTTAAGGTCATACTGTGAAATGAGGTCAAGATAGAAATTTGATGGGTCAGCAATGTAAAAAGGTATACCCCATGTTGTCATTAATTACACAGCTGGAGACGCGGACTCTGGATAGTATGTATACTGGTGTGATACTGCTCTATATACATGTAGATAAAAGATTTAAAAATAAACAATTTGGACATAAAAATCAGCAAAAAGAGCACATATAATGCTTACCAACTGGTAAAGGCCATGTAGTGTCTTAGACGCAAATAATTGCATTAAACTATCCTTTAAATATAACACCATTTTTAAAAAATCTTACGAACAAATTAAAAATATTATAAATCGTTCAAACGATTTTATACATCGTTCAAACAATTAAAAAAATTTATGGTGGCACATTTTACGCAATCCTTGGGGGAATAAAATCTCGCCACCTCCCTTAAATATGAGAGAGAGAGAGAGAGAGAGAGAGAGAGAGAGAGAGAGAGAGAGAGAGAGAGAGAGAGATTTACAAGACACGAGAAATTGTTGAGGAGCCAAAAAGGGAGAGAAATTTTCCAAATTCCAAAAAACTTTGGTGGGCTCAGTGCAAGGTTGGTGGAGGGGTAGGGGGTGGTGTGGTCTCTTTGCAGAAACAAACAAAAATCAAATAATATTACATCTAAGTCTGGGGGAAAAGGTGATAACCTGTCTAGGAATAAAAAATAATGCTATCTTTAGCAGCAAAAAAATGAGAAGAAAAGAAACAGAAATTATAAAAAAAAAACAAACACAAAAAAAACAACAACAAATTACTAAGGAACAAAAGAACAAAAAATAGAAATATTTCCACAGGACATTAATCTCTGTCGAGGGTATGTTATTAATTCAACGTGATTTTTTTTTTTTTTTTTTTTTTTTTTTTTGAAGTTTGATCAGAATATCTTGAACTGAATTGAAACCTAAATAATTGGATATAGATGAGAAATTCTAAAAAGAATTTAAGTGCACAAGCTTACATAAAAATATCGTAAATTGTTCCTCGAACGTAAAGTGAAATTATCGTTATCGATATATATATAATATCGATAAGTTTAAAGTTGCCTTTGACCCGTCATTAGATTTTCTTCATAGTCGGGTTCGACACCTGACGTCGCGACAAAAACGAGATCGGCCTACGTAAAATCGAAACCACTTTATTTTCCATTTCATCGCACCTGTTGCCTAAAAATGAATATCGATTATTTTACGCGTAGTGATTAATTTGCAAACCAGTAAACGTACGGATCAAGTAGGAAGATGTTGGAGAATGACGAAAAGATTCCAGATGTTCACAAAGAAAAGAAGGAAATGAGTCTCAAGGAAAAAATTGACTACTTTGATAGAGAAATTCGTCTGCTTCACCAGTTTTGCATCAATTCTGGATACAGCAAGAAGGAAATTCGACAGTCGGCGGAGCCTTTCCTTCTCGCCACTGACTCTCTGGCGTGGCAGAAGACGAAAAGGAAACTGATACTTGTTGGTGTACTTATAGCCGTCATTGCTGCATTGTATTATTGCGATCCAACGTACAGGTTTATCTTGGCTGTCAGCAGAATCACAGCTATAAAGGTATATAATCCCTAGCTTTAATATACTGTAAAACGAGAATATTTGGCGCACTATTAATTTTCGCGCCTTTGGTGCAAGAGCCCCTGAGCTCTAAAATTTATTGTGCGCTAAAGGATTTCAAAATATCATTTTTTTTGTGTGTGTTCAAAGCTTTTACATAAGTACATGTAAACCGACACCGGAACTCGCGATTACGTAATGTCGAAGGGTCATTGGATTTTATATACAGAATAGAACTGCACATGTTCGGAAGACGACAGAAAGTTCTGCCAAATTATAATTTAGTTAAACTATTGTTACCCCGGTAGTTGTTACCCGATTATTATCATTAGCACCTTCAAAGTTTGGCTTCTCGGCGTGTCAATCATCTATCGCCTCGAGTTAAACATGGCGATTGAGCTTGCAGACAATTATACCTGATTAGAATTGCCGTTTTATCTAAGTAATTTTCTGTCGATGCATGCATTGTTTAATATGATTTAAATGAGTAAATACTCCATTTCTTTTAATTGAAAGTAGAAATAAAATAAATTTTAACTTTGTACCACGTCCATGTGATAGCAACACGTGCCGAGGTAAAGTTAACGAATGTTTACTGATATATGGGAGTACTAATGTGTTTCCGTGCTTGACAAACCAAAAAGTCAAATAAGGGTATTGATAAAAAAACCCAACAAAATATCACATTTATATATTTTACTGATAAGTGCAAGCGCTAAAATTTATTTGCGCCAATGCATTCCCACTTGCGTTTGCGCTAAAATACGTTTGCGCCAAATTTTCTCGTTTTACAGTATTAAAAAAAAAATAAATAAGAAAAGAGATGATTTATAAAAGACATACACATCAATTAGTCAATTAGTTTTTAAAATGTGGGTCTTGAGTGATGAGTGATGATTTATAAAAGACATACACATCAATTAGTCAATTAGTTTTTAAAATGTGGGTCTTGAGTGATGAGTCAATGATATTAGTCATTAGGGACACTGTTATATTAGATACTCTATTAAATGCATAATTTTTTTTTTTCAAATAATTGTATTATTAGCTCACCTGAGCTGAAGGCTCAAGTGAGCTTTTCTGATCAAAATTTGTCTGTCGTCTGTCGTCGTTGTCGTTGTCGTCGTCGTTAACTTTTCACATTTTCATCTTCTCCTCAAGAACCACTGGGCCAATTTCAACCAAACTTGGCACAAAGTATCCTTGGATGAAGGGGATTCAAGTTTATTTAAATGAAGGGCCACACCCTTTTCCAAGGGGAGATAATCATGAATTAAAGAAAAATTATTGACATTTTTAAAAAATCTTCTTCTCAAGAACCACTGGGCCAGGAAAGATGAAACTCCTGTGGAATCATCCTCAGGTAGTGTAGATTTAAGTTTGTTCAAGTCATGACCCCCGGGGGTAAGGCGGGGCCAAAATGGCCGATCAAAGTTTTACATAGGAATATATAGGAAAAATCTTTTAAAATCTGCTTCTCAAGAAATACTGGGCCAGGAAAGATGAAACTCATGTGGAATCATCCTCAGGTAGTATAGATTCAAGTTTCTTCAAGTCATGACCCCCGGAGGTAGGGCGGGGCCAAAATGGCCGATCAAAGTTTTACATTGGAATATATAGGAAAAATGGAATATATAGGAAAAATCTTTTAAAATCTTCTTCTCAAGAACCACTGGGCCAGGAAAGATGAAACTCATGTGGAATCATCCTCAGGTAGTGAAGATTTAAGTTTGTTCATGTCATGACCCCCGGGGGTAGGGCGGTGCCAAAATGGCCGATCAAAGTTTTACATAGGAATATATAGGAAAAATCTTTAAAAAATCTTCTTCTCAAGAACCATTGAACAGGAAAGATGAAACTCATGTGAAATTATCCTCAGGTAGTGTAGATTCAAGTTTGTTCAAGTCATGACCCCGGGGTAAGGGTGTGGCAAAAATGGCCGACCACAGTTTTACATAGAAATATATAGGGAAACCTTTTTAAATCTTCTTTTCAAGTACTTCAAAGCCAGGATTAGTAATATTTATATGAAAACATACTCAGGTAATGTAGATTCTAGTTCGTTCAAATTATGATCCCCTTGGTGGTTAAAATTCAAGCCCCCCCCCCCCCCCCCCAGTAAACTTTCAGTTCTGATCTGATGTGTTTTTTCCGAGCTGATATGCTCAGGTGAGCGCTGTGGCCCGTGGGCCTCTTGTTTTTAAGCTGGAACAGTATGTAAATAATATGTAAACAGTTAGGGGGTTGTCATCTTTTTTGAAACATAATCATGTATTATTATTTACCATTGTATATTTACCTGTAATACAAGGAGAGGGTGTACATAGGTCTTGCCTGTTGCCCAATCCTTAGTGATTTATTCAATAAAATATGTTTAAAGTAATCAATGATATGGGTACTTGATCTGGAATTTAAGGAGTTTTTTTTTTGTTTGTTTTTTGTTTCTTTTGTTTGTCTGTTTTTTGTTTAACATATGTACATATACATACATGCACACATACCCGTACATACTTTAAATATTTATCAACTTCCAGTGTTTGTGATTAATAAAATATAAGAATGAACCATGCATAGATAGATTCTGTCAATTAAATCAAACACCGTAGTGAAAAGGCACTTTGACAATTTAAGGTTTAATGCAAGGCTAGTAACCGTTGATTATTACTGATGCATGTGAATGCAGTCTTTTTTTAAAATGCTTTTGGAAATGATTTTCTTTTAAACACTACACAATAGACAAAAGTTTAATTATTTTCAATAATGCCGACAGAAAGATAGACAAAGCTAATTCATATATAAAACAAAATGCAGAAATGTTTATCATGTTTATATGCAGAACTTGCACAAGGAACAAATACTGCTTTAAAAGTCTCTTACCTTAAAAATGATTAGAGTGGTAAAAGATGAAGTAGAATATTCAATATTTCCACATTATCAAATTAGATCTTGAAATATTTTTCCTGTAGATTTTATTATTGATAATTGAAGTTTGAATTTGGAAAGATTCATGCAAAGAAAACCTAGGAACTTTTCAAATATCAAATATATTCAAATCTCTAATATATTTTCAAATCTCACGACAAACTACTCCACAAATTACATCAATATGGCATCCAAGGAACACTCCACACATGGCTAAACAACTTTCTAACAACAAGGAAAATGAAAACAATAGTAGAGGGAACAGAGTCGGAGGAAACATCAGTAGACTCTAGGGCTGGGACGATATATCGAGATATCGATATATCGTGATACATGTAAGGACGATACGCATATCGATACATATGAAGAAATATCGAAATATCGCCCATGAAAATCTGACTTCTATTTTTCTTTGTTTATTTAACATTTGGGGTTTAATATATAAAATAAATAAGTTAAATATAAATATAGATATGAAATAAATAATAATTAACACCATTTGAGTAAAATATTCTTGTTTTACAACATATTAACAATTATTTTGAATAAATTATTCTTATTTGCAAAGAAATAATTTGTTTATTTCAATGCAAAAAAAGATTTTATAAGCAATTAAACATTTTGTGATACATATCGTATCGTGGCTCAAATATCGTGATACGTATCGATATAGAAAAAGTTGTATCGTCCCAGCCCTAGTAGACTCAGGAGTTCCACAAGGCACAGTACTCGGCCCGATAATGTTCCTATGCCACATAAACGATCTACCAGACGCTGTCAGCTCGTCTGTACGCCTATTTGCCTACGATTGCCTCCTATATAGAACCATCAGGAGCAACAAAGACCATCAGATACTACAAAATGACCTCAACCAACTAGAGGTCTGGGCAAATAAGTGGGGCATGAGATTCAATGCTAAAAAGTGCTACATTATGTCAATCAATCAGAAATCAACAAAACTATACCAACTTAACAGCCACATACTCCAAGAAGTACAAAACAACCCATACCTTGGACTTGAAATATCAAACGATCTCAAATGGAGTCTACACATAAACAACATCAGTAAGAAAGCAAATAACACACTAGGCTTCCAAAGATGAAATCTCCGAAATGTCCCAGAAGAATGCAGGAAAAACAGCATATATATCCCTAGTTAGATCAATTATGGAATATGGAGCTACTATCTGAAACCCATACCTCAAAGGGGATATGGACAAGTTTCGAAAGAATACAAAATAGAGCCATACGATTCATCAAAAAGACTACAACACTAGGAACCCAGGAGCACTAGCATCTATGAGAAAAAGTCTTGATATTGAAACACTAGAGGAAAGAAGAACAAGTTTTCGATTAATTCTAATGTACAAAGTGGTTGAGGGGTTGGTGCCGGCACTACCACCTCATCTATTCGTAAAATATACCAAAGAAAAATGCCAAATCAAACCAAAACAATATAAGGACTATCAGACAACAAATATTTACAAAAACATGTGTGCAACAACAGCAAAGGCTTAGCAATACCAGCCAGTAGAAAACCACAATATCAGCACTCATTCTTTGTGGACACGTGTATTGAGTGGAACCATCTACCCAACTCTGTCGTACATGCGAAAACAATAGAGGGATTTACATGTAAGACCGCCCTACAGGAACAGCGACGCCAGTAACATCTGGCGCTCTCTCTTACCGTTGTGAAAAAGCCTATATAGGATACTACAACGTATACATACAGATACAGAAATACTTCTTAAATATCCAAAAATATGAAAGCAATTTTAATTAATGACACAAAATAGTAGTACAGTGACATCACTTCATGACTCAATTTTTTAAATAGATTCATGCACTGAATCACATACTGTAAATAATTGACATATACTGCTAGGCATATAAGTTTTATAAATGTAGTGTTTGTAGTAATTGTTTTTTACAAAATGAAACAGCTGTTAAAATATGAAACAGTATCAGTAGGGTGTAACATACTGGTTGATAGCTTGATGCTGTAGTGTCAGTTAAACATGTCAGTATTCTTGATAAAAAATATGTACAACTGTTATATGAATTTTGGTTCCGGTGTAAGTGTGTGATATACCTAGATTTTCTAAAAGATACTTACTGCAGTTGAATGGTTACATGCTTTATTATTATACTGATCGGAAACTTTAACTCAACTTATCTAACATTTAAAGAAAACTTTGCGATTTACTTTGATTGATTGTGTTGTATGCTGTCTCTCTCTCACCAATTTGCAATCACAAACAAAAAAAAAAACATTCTGTATGAATTTTTAATGGAATACAAGTTACAAATTTGGGCGTATGTAACATTGGCATCTTTACCATATGCCTGCAAATATACTTTTCACTGGACCACCCATCATGAAAGCAAAAATAAAATGTTTAATTAAGTTTATATAATAGGAAACCTGCAGTTAAATGAAACCATGTACAATACTGAAAATTGTTCTCCGCAGTTTGCAATTCAAAAACCAGAGTTTGACTGCAATAGTCATGTAAAATAGATGTCAGAAAATAAGTAGAAGAATTTGGTGTTGATTTCACATTATGTTTATGTACCCAATAAATGTGTTAGTTAAATGCTGTGCTATTTATTTGTTGTTAACAGCTGATTCCTGTGTGGGATTGGACCAAGGTTCACCAGTGGGAGTGTATGGTTGACAACCCCCTGTATGCTGGAGTGACTCTTACAGAAGAAGACTGTGATGTAGGTAACTTATAAAATCAGTGCAGCTCGATTTCAGATTTAGCCTTATGTGATGGTAAAGAATACTTCTGTCTTTCTTTATGCAGTTTTTCAAAAATACTACTCCTACAGTTTAAGTCTGATCTCAATATTACTTGCATCACAGTTAAACTACACCAAATAAGACACATTAGTCTATAGATCTTTCTTTTAATTCAGTGAAAAGTGTTACCATTGTCCAATTGTTTGTGTAATTATTCCAAAGTGCTACATCCTCTTCAGATTTAAAAGAAAATTATTGGAAATGTTCAAAATCTAAGAGTATTGAGTGAAAATAGGTAGATTAGCATAACTCAAACTTAACTTCATAGGTAAAGTCATCCACAGCATAAAAGACATGAAAAATCATTGTATATGTACAAACAAAGCAAAAACAATTTCTAGAAAACAGTGAAGAAATTTTAATTTTTTAAAGTGTTGCAGAAAATGGTTTCGTTGACCTGAAACTGTAAGTCCTTATTATAAACTTAAGATAATAAATCAAAAATCAACTCATTATCTGCATGCAGAAAAGTTTGGAAAACAGTTTAAGAATTTGATATTTCAAAGTCTAAGGGCAAACAGTTAGGTTTATTGATTTTGATTTGGTGTCAAAGTAATTTCTGTTAATTTTTTAGCTCACCTGAGCCAAAGGCTCAAGTGAGCTTTTCTGATCACAATTTGTCCGTTGTCTGTCGCCGTCGTTGTCGTTGTAAACTTTTCACATTTTCATCTTCTTCTCAAGAACCACTGGGCCAATTTCCACCAAACTTGCTACAAAGTATCCTTGGGTAAAGGGGATTCAAATTTGTTCAAATGAAGGGCCACGCCCTTTTCCAAGGGGAGATAATCATGAATTAGAGAAAAAATAATGGCATTTTTAAAAAATCTTCTCAAGAACCACTGGGCCAGGAAAGATGAAACTCATGTGGAATCAACCTCAGGTTGTGTAGATTCTAGTTTGTTCAAATCATGACCCCAGGGGGTAGGGTGGGGCCAAAATGGCTGATCAAAGTTTTACATAGGAATAATAGGAAAAATCTTTAAAAATCTGCTTCTCAAGAACCACTGGGCCTGGAAAGATGAATTTATGTGGAATCATCCTCAGGTAATGTAGATTCAAGTTTATTCAAATCATGACCCCCAGGGGTAGGGTGGGGCCAAAATGGCCAATCAAAATTTATATAGGAATTATATAGGAAAAATTTTTATAAATCTTCTTCTCAAGAACCACTGGGCCAGGAAAGATGAAACTCATGTGGAATCATCCTCAGGTAGTGTAGATTCAAGTTTGTTCAAATCATGACCCCCGGGGGTAGGGTGGGGCCAAGATGACCGATCAAAGTTTTACATAGGAATATATAGGAAAAATCTTTAAAAATCTTCTTCTCAAGAACCACTGGGCCTGGAAAGATGAATTTATGTGGAATCAGTAGTGTAGATTCAAGTTTATTCAAATCATGACCCCCGGGGGTAGGGTGGGGCCAAAATGGCCGATCAAAATTTATATAGGAATATATAGGAAAAATCTTTAAAAATCTTCTTCTCAAGAACCACTGGACCAGGAAAGATGAAACTTATGTGGAATCATCCTCAGGTAGTGTAGATTTAAGTTTTTTCAAATCATGACCCCCAGGGGTAGGGTGGGGCCAAAATGGCCGATCAAAGTTTTACATAGGAATATATAAAAAAAAATCTTTAAAAATTTTCTTCTCAAGAACCACTGGGCCAGGAAAGATGAAACTCATGTGGAATCATCCTCAGGTAGTGTAGATTCAAGTTTGTTCAAATCATGACCCCCGGGGGTAGGATGGGGCCAAAATGGCCGATTAAAGTTTTACATAGGAATATATAGGAAAAATTTTCTTCTCAAGAACCATCGAGACAGGAAAGATGAAACTCCTGTGGAATCATCCCCAGGTAGTCTAGATTCAAATTTGTTCAAATCATGACCCCCCGGGGGTAGGGTGGGGCCAAATGGCCGATAAAAGTTTTACATAGGAATATATAGGGAAACCTTTTAAAATCTTCTTTTCAAGTACTTCAAAGCCAAGCTTAGTGATATTTATAGGGAATCATCCTCAGGTAGTTTGTTCAAATCATGACCCCCTGGGGGTTAAAATTCAAGCCCCCCCCCCCCCCCCCCCCCCCCCCAGTAAACTTTCAGTTCTGATCTGGGGCTCATTTCTCAAAAAGGTCTACGACCAGGCGTAAGCTTAGTCCGGACTAAATCAGTGACTAAACCCGGAAGTTGGACTAAGTTGCGTTTCACAAAAAGGCGGATACTTAGTCGAGACTAAATTTTGGTTAAAATCTAGGCCTGCTCATGACTAGGCATAAGTTCTTAGTCTGTACACAGCTTTGAAAAAGGGCAAGTGTTTTAATCAAAAAGAGTTTTAAAAAAATATTTTTTTATACATATGCGATATAATACCTGTTCATATACATGCACATAATTATATGATATGCAAAAATCATGAAAATTTACAAACAACATATATTATTATCCATCGATTATTTTTCGCAGAAGGTGGAATGAACTAGAAATTTGTTATTAAGAATTTCGAATTCTAGTCGGGTAGGAATTTAGAAGTGCCAGATTTTATTTTTTAAAAATGTAGGCACGTATTGTCGGGGGTGGGGGGTGGGGGCTTCAATCCTCCCTTTTTTATTCATTGCAATAATGCGTTTTCTGTTTTTAAAAGGTGAATAATTTATGGGCTGATTCCCACTTTCAGCATTTCTCTTCTCGGCTGAATATTTTGGTCACTTAATTACTTAATCCCCCCTCCCATCCCCATTCACTTTTTAAAAACGATGCCAGATTCCGGATATTTTTTTTTTGTTTTGAAATGGATAATGTTTCAATAAATCCTCAAACAATATTCATTTTTAAAAATATATTTTAGATAATAAGAAATATTCGGTAACTATATGCCATCAACCAAGTCAATGCTTCTTTAATTTTCCCCTTTAATTGCATGTCTTTAAATATGATATTATTAAAACATAAAAATTTGAATTTGTAAAATGTTTAGTATTATACTTAAAGTATTCTGTTTATAAGACTGTTCACTCATTGTCGAGAGGTGAGAAGTGTAGATGGGTTAATCGTTTTTTCTTAATGGCTTGCAAAAGCTTAAAGGTTTTAAATCGAATTCTTATGAACTATATTACAGGCAATAAATCTAGTAATTATTATAAATTTCTAAAATATTTCCATTAAAATTGAGAATGCGTGTGTTATGATGCAAATGGTGTATATGCATATGTATTTCTACATGACCTATGTAAATTATCATGACGATATCAATGTAAAACCATGTCCAAAATGTAATACATGTATCATAAATGCAGGTACATGTATCACCTTGGTTGCCAATATATGTCTTATTCATATTGAATAAATTGATTGAAATTATTAAGAATTATATATGGTATGGGCCATTTTAGGCCCCCATTCAGAAAATGTTTTACATGTGTAAATTTCTTTCTTGTTTAAGGCGTCGCATGTATATCAAATTGTCGCTTACTGTATGAAAATTGTCATTTTTTAAAGTTTTGTTTAAAACTAAGGCACTTGAAACCTTTAATTCTCTGCATATTACTTAAATCAATATATCAATATAACGATTAAAGAAATATATAAATTTTATCCTTTCAAAAAACATAAATTTAATTGAGGTTCACTGACGTTTAAATTTTACCAAAAACGGGAGCCAAGGAAAACCATATATAGTCTTGAAGACAACTAATCATTTAAAAAAAACTCTTATCCATGTTTTAATTTTATGATAATTTTGATTTCATAACTGATAAATTTTTGATAGCACGCCTGTTGGTCGGGGGCTCTGTCCCTTCACTCTCTAACTGCGTAAAGTATTTTAAATACAGAAAAAAATCTTTTAGATACTGCTCCCCCCCCATTCCCCGACTTTGAAACTGTAGCTACAAGCCTGTTCCAGCCCCTAGCCATATATGGCTTTTACTCAAAGGAAAATTACTTTTTATTCCAAATTTTCGCAAGTACATGTATGTATAATCATGTCTGTCCTCCATCATTTGGTTTTAATGTAGAATCTAATAAAACACTTGTGGATGAAGAGAGGAACGCTGTGTCCAAAATTATAATAAAAGATTTACTCAATCAGTTTTGTGTAGTGTGGCTGTGGGCGCCTAACCCGACCCCAATCTGTCCCCCTTTTCAAGATTTCTGAATCCGCTACTATGTTAATGCTTTGAACTTGAAAATACAGGGTTTGCGTAATATATCTGTTTGAAAGACGGTGAAAAGGGAAAACATGCAAGTGTGCTTGTGATTCCTGTGCTTTATATCCTTTATTTAGGTTCAAGTGTGATATTAATTTGATCCGCCACATGTCATTGTAGTCTCTAAACCAAATAAAATGCGATCTGCGCATGCTTAGTACCTAGCAGAGAGGTCTTTGTCTTAGACCCAGTTTTACGCCGCTTTTTGAAACGCAATTTAGGCCCGTCTAAATTTTGGTGTAACTATATTAGTCTGACTAACTTAGGCCCAAATCTATGACTTTTTGAGAAACGAGCCCCTGATATGTGCTTTTTCCTAGCCAATTGCTCAGGTGAGTGATGTGGCCCCTGGGCCTCTTGTTTTAATTCTTTCATAGTAAACTGTATAAAATTACATAAATTGGAGCACTCAAAATTTAGTGGAACGTTCCTCATAAACTTAGCGCATCTGGCGCAAAGTATCTGTATTTCTTTAAATCATATTATAGCATAGTTGAATAAAGTGGACAAGAAGCAGTGTAAATGGTGTGAATCAAACAATAAAAAGCTTTCTTTGTTTGTTATTACTGGAATTAACGGAAGCAGCTGTTGCAGAAAAAATAGTTATGTAAATTTTTTCTGCAATAGCTGCAACCGTTAATTCCAGTAATAACAAACAAAGAAAGAAATTTTATTGTTTATATTTAAATCTGTTTAAATAATCATTTAAAGTAAGATTAAAAAGATTAATCATTGTATTAGTGATGCGAACGTCTTTATACGTTTCATTGATGGAACAGCCACTGATCAAGAAATCTGTACAGGCGACATGCCTAATGTAGTTCATGCAGTGATTAACGCAATGGGTTTTCTTAAGAAATAAAGGAGAAAATATTCAGTGGATGTAAATATAACATAATAACCACTTAACGAAAATGAATACATCAACAGAATGTACAGTGAAAGTTACCTAATGTAGTCACCTCTGGTTCCAAAGAAATCGGCTGATAAGACAAAATTCCGTTTTTTGAAACATTTTAAACATGTAAATAATTGAAAAGGATTTGAAGTTTACATCGTATTATACAAGATTTTGGAATACAAAACATCTGAGATAATACAAGTTTTACTGTATATTTCAAGCCAGGTGTATAAGATAAATATAAATTCGCTCCATCTAAAACTTGAGGTAAAACCTGCAAAAATAATTCCTTTACCATAATTACAGATTTGATTTTTTTTCATAAAATTACACCAAAGCATATACATTTATTTATTTGTAGATCTGTAAAGATCTTGAGACCGTGGAAAGAGTTACTAATTTAAGTGGGACAGATTTCCATGACAACTATCTAAAGCCGGAGCTTCCAGTAATTGTAGAGGATGGAACAAAAGACTGGGCAAAAGAAAAACTACAGACAAACATTGAGACTCTTTACAAGGTACATACACAGTTAATGAGCTACTACACTGTGCTGTAAAATTTGAAATTTTGGTGGATTATGTTTTTATTATTTTAATAAAATTAAATTCACATTCTTCATAAATTGAATAACTTTTAAATTACAATTTCTGGAAAAGATAAAATGCTACAACTACTCTACTCCCTGCAAAAAGTAAAAACTTTGAGAATGTTTAACAAGTACATGTATAGCTAAATTGAAAATGGTGTGTGTGTGAGGGTAAGGGTGTGGGTGTGTGTGTGTGTGTGTGTGTGTGTGATCTCTTTGGTTACTAGATTACAAGTGCAATCAGTATGTTTGAGGAAATTATTAACTGGCAAAAAGACTTCATGCAATGGCAAATAATTTTTTTTTTTTGATAAGAATGAATCAATTTTCTTTGAAACTAATTTTTATATATGTTTAATTAAGTGTGATAATCTTTGTCTAGGATATTACAATCAGCATGCCAACAATTTTGCTTCTTTTATAGATTAATAAAAAATAATAGGGATGGAGGACATTTTTGATACTGTATACAGGGAAATTTTCACCCCCGTTTTATTTTCGCCCCCTTTCCCTTGTCACAAGTGGGTGAATTAACAAGAGGCCCATGGGCCACATCGCTCACCTGAGCACTGTGGCTAGGAAGAATTAGAAATTAGTTTATTATTGAAAAGTTTAAATCCAAAAGTAGTCCCATGATCAGTTATGGTTTTGCTATTCTTGAGAACAAGATTTTTAAAGAATGTTCCTATATATTTTTATGTAAAACTTTGGTCGGCCATAATGGCCCTGCCCTAACCCCGGGTGTCATGATTTGAACAAACTTGAATCTACACTACCGAAGGATGCTTCCATATGTATATATGATCAATTATGGCTTTGTTATTCTCGAGAAGATTTTCAAAGAATTTTCCTATACATTTCTATGTAAAAATTTGGTCGGCCATTGTGGCCCCGCCCTACCCCCGGGGGTCATGGTTTGTACAAACTCGAATCTACACTACCTAAGGATGCTTCCATATGAATATGATCAATTACGGCTTTGTTATTCTTGAGAAGAAGATTTTTAAAGAATTTCCTATATATTTCTATGTAAAACTTTGGTTGGCCATTGTGGCCCCACCCTACCCCTGGGGGTCATGATTTGAACAAACTTGAATCTACACTACCTAAGGATGCTTCCATATAAATATGATCATTTATGGCCTTTGTTATATAGAAGTTTTTAAAGAATTTTGCTATATATTTTAATTATTTTCTTAAAAATTGATCATAAACGTTTAAGTTATATACCAATTTATCATAATAACACATTTTAACAACAAAATAAAATTTCCAAAAATGCAGCTCATATTGCTTACCCATAAGTTCCATCTTTCCTGGCACAGTGGTTCTTGAGAAGAAGATTTTTAAAATATGCCACCAAATTTTCATTAATTCCAAATTATCTCCCCTTGAATGAGGGCGTGGCCCTTCATTTGAACAAATTTGAATCCCCTTTACCCAAGGATGCTTTGTGGCAAGTTTGGTTAAAATTGGCCCAGCGGTTCTTGAGAAGAAGTCGAAAATGTGAAAAGTTTACAGACAGAAGGACAGACAGATGGACGCCGGACAAAATGTGATCAGAAAAGCTCACTTGAGCCTTCAGCTCAGGTGAGCTAAAAAGGGCGGATTCAAAGAACACGGTATAAATTCTTAAACAGAACTGTGACTGGGCAAATTTAAAATGGGCAAAATTGTTAGCAAGTGTAAAAGGGCGAAAATAAATAACATGTAAACAGGGAACAGATGATAAAAATGTTATTTCCTAACCCTATATAAATTGTAATACATTTTGAACTGTTTTACGATTTATTTTATGTTTTTCAATAAACAGGGAACAGATGATAATAAATGTTATTTCATAACCTACTATATAAATTGTAATTATGTGCATAATTTGAACTGTTTTACTATATTATTTTGTGTGTTTTTCCAATTTAATTAATTATATATCATGTAATAAAAAACAGTCGGTGAAACAGTCAAATTTTTGTTGAACCAGGCCACAGAATGAAATATTAAACAGGATCTTAATTATTCCAGGCCTACAAAGAGAACAATGCTCTTCACAGAAACCCAGTCTGTGGCTTCCACACTGATACAAAATACAACAACCTTCAGTTATTTCTACATCAAATTGTTACCTCAGATACACAGTCCTACACAGCAGATTGGTAAGTATCGGGTACAGCACTCAGGTATAACATTGTTAAAAGTCTAACAACAAAGCAATCAGGTACACCATTGTCAAAGTCTATAGCTAACAGCAAAGCAATCAAGTACACCATTGTTAAAAGTCTACATTTATGAAATTATTGCTGTTTTATTCTGTATTATAGAAAATTTAGTTAAAATGTTATCAGTGATATATCAAAAGAAATCTTGCATATAGGATCATTGCTAAAGATGAGAGATTATCTTTTTTTCAGGGAAAACTGCATAAAAGAAGGGGCGAAAGCCTTTCGGAGCTTCTACCAGAGGCCTTACTTCTTGCCCCAGACAGTGGATATTTCTGATTCTAATTGGGTTTTTGTCTCCAAAGGATCAGTAGAACACCATTATGATGTAACAGTTATAATAATATAACAATCTTTAATCTATAGTACCATAAATATTGACTAAATCAGACCTGGGTTACTTAATTAAAAAAAGTCTTGAATTTTTTTTATGCAAGTCAGGAAATCTAGAAAAAATCTCGGTATGAAGTAAATGTATATTGAATAGGTTGTCAAGTTTAAAACAATTAAATTAGATATAAATCATACATATAGGTTTTTCTGCCAAACCAAAGGTTCTGTCTGCTTGTCTGTTTTATACAGGTCCCACTTTCCAATCCTTTCCTGATGTTAATACCCTTGAAGGGTCAGTTTGAGATAGCTCTTTCTCCAAGAGAACCTTGTTCCAAAGTTTGTGTGGATGTAACTGCTGACTTGCATGGAGGAGAAATTAGTAACTATATCTTCAAAGCTATTGATGTCCATACTGCAAGGGAGATAATGGGGTACTATTTTCTTGCATTACAATAAATAACTATTATAAGCTGAATTTAAAACATATATTCTTTTTTCAGTGATTGTAAACATGGCTGACTTGCTCTGGTTTAAATCCTATCGCCCCACTGGGTCAGGAGAAAATATTTTGATTGGGGTTGGAGGATCATATGAATGATTTTCAACCGAGAGTCAACACAACATATTCAAAGAGATCATTGAAATCCTGTACATCTACCATTAAATCAAAATAAAGGGAAAAAGATTAAATATTTAAATGTTGTTTTAATTAATGTCCTGTGATGAATATGGCTGGTGCATATGTTTGACATATCTTTCTCTGATGTGTCTGCCCATCACCATTTGCATCAGTAGTTTCCGGTAATTTTTTTCTTAAAGAAATGTTAAAGACATTTTATTCAATGCTAAAAATATGGCCAGTGCAAGGATCACTTGTTTTGCAAATTTAAGTATACCTTACAGCTTCTATAAGAGATAACGGCATAACACTGTAATATAAGAAGTAATATTTTCTACATCCTTTTTGTATTCAGAACTTAACAATAATTTTGTTTCAAACAAGTCTAAAACAAGCAATATATTTAAATGGGAGGCAACCTCAAACATTTTGACCAATTTAAACAAAAACCACAATAAATGTTTGTTAAATACTTATGCCCCACCCCCCCCTCCCCCAAATAGTTGAAATGTTTCCAAGTCCAAGGGGCATAACTCTGTCCAAAAGGCCCAATTGTACCCAGAACAGAACTTGACCTAGATATTCTTATGAAAAATCTGCTTATCAAATTTCATTTCAATATGTTCAACCTCTGTCAAGAAAATTAACAGAAACTGCAAATAATTAGATCTTTTCTAAGCACAAGGGGCATAACTATGTCCAAAATGGCTCAATCATACCCAAAAAAAAAGATCATGACTTAGATATTCTTATGGAAAATCTATGTACCAAATTTCATTTCAGTATGTACAACCACTGCCAAGAAAATGAACGGAAACTTGATGGCAGCAAAAGCAAAATGTCCGCCACTCTTCAAAGGAGGCATAAAAAGGAGCTTAAATTGGACCCTTTCAACTTTTTGACATTTTTTCAGTGACATAATTTGTCAGTGATTCAGTGTTCAACCTTTCAGCAACAGGAAGGGGAGCAGGCAACATCTAATGAAAGCTAACAAGTATCTTTGCAAAAATTTGAATCTTGCAAAGTGAATGTCACATTGAACAAAGGATTCCTTTCTCCAAAGCAAATACAGAAAATAGCACAAAATCTGGTCATGTTCATTAATATCAACAAGAAATCAAATGTTCTTCTCAAGAACTTCTGTAAAATATTTTTGTAAAGTTGTCTGGAAAAATAATTCAACATAGATGCACAACATGGGGTGCGTTCACAGTTCTGCCATTGGTAGACAAAAGTTGCCGTTGGCAAAATTAATTACCATTGGCATGCCAGTGGTACCAATGTTTTTTGCCAATGGTATATTTTTCTGACGTCACAGCTAGTTATCGACATGGCAACAAGCTAGAAAGACTTGGATCCCGGATTCACAATGATATAAACGATTTTTCCTCTAAGCCTTTTGAACAAATCATGCCAAAATCACATAAAAATCATATTAAACACTTAAATTCATGACTTTAATGTATGATTTAGACATGATCCATTAAAGGGATTATATAAAACTCTTAAAACATTGCTGTGACGTCAAGCCTTTGTTCTTGCAGTCTAAAAATTTACCTGTAGCCGTCCGATAATAATAATTACCAGTCTGATAATATATTATCGGACGGCAATGATAACAAAATCGGACGGTATTTAAAAAACAAAAAGAAGAGTGAAAATAGATTAAAAATGTCCACAAACCTTCAATAAAATGTTAGGAAAAAAATTCAGGGAAACCAAACGCAAGGAAATTAAGTTGATCACAATACAAAATAGCAAATCCATGGCAACCTTAAAAAAATGTGATCCTGAATTTAAATACATGTGGTTTGTTTGGCCACACTTTCAAAACCGGCTATGAGTCTGCAAAATTATGATTTTCTAAAAATGCGATTGCTAAACGAAACGACTGCATGTTCCAATAACTTAGACGGGTAGACAGAGAAATCTAGGTAACTTTTGGACATTTAAGTGGCATAAGATATACCACCGTTTCCATTGGACTCCCATTGGCATATATAACATTGGTGAAAATCTGCTATGACATTTTTATGCCAATATCCATTGGACTCCCATTGGTAACATTGGTAAAATCGTTACATTTTTATTTATTGGTACAGTTGGTACCATTGTTCAAATTATTGCACCAATGGTATATTGAAAGTTGGTACTAATGGTAGAACTGTGAATGCACCCATGGTTCTCCATTTTTCTCAGGGACACAATTATACTTTGAAGAAAATTATCAGTTTTAATTCTGAGCAAGATGGCACACGCATTATATTAAATATTGCAAAAACCAAACACATCCAACTCCACTATTTTATTTGTGAATTACTAAATACATCAAAACATTATTTCATAATCGTAACAATCATGATGCTGGCATCAATAGATTTAAAAAAGATCATCAACACAACAAAATACAAAGATCTACGATCAGTTTATGATTGGTGGTAGTGACTCGTTCCACTGACATTCACAAGTGTGGTTCTTTAAAATAAGTTAATTTTGTCGAAGCACAAGAAAAATACAGTTTATGACCATGAATTCAGTCACAAAAATCACATGAAATCTGGTGAGTGATGAATAAAGTTGATGAAGGCTTAGGGTTATGATCTTTCACGATGGATAGTAATGTTGACCATAACCCCACTGCTGATGAGGGTAGGAATAACCAGTGTTCTGTAAAACAAAGGTCAAGAAATCTGTAACCTTCACTGCATCAGTGATTGGGAAGGCCAAAATGGTCAATGGGACTATGGCGCAACTGTCAACATTTCTGATGGGCCATTTCGAAAATGAATGGGCCATCAATATAATCTGAAGGGCCATTTTAACAAAGTGACAAACAAATATAAAATACGAAAGAAAACACATTTTTAATTAACCGAATCCGATTTTTAATGCATGAAATGCAGCAAATTTGAAGGAACATGCTTAAAATATTACTGACCCGTATTTGTGTTAAAATTACGACAGTTTTGGAAAGGGAACAGCCCTACCATACAAATGAATGAAGTATTGTACCTCATGTAAGTGCTTCGTTTAACCGGAAGTACTTTTTGACAGGTTTCAACCAATGAGATTTGATGTTTTAAATTGACTGCATTTAAAACGAAAGTAAAACAAGAAAGAAAGTCGTACCCAAAATATTTCAAAATAACATCGCTAAAAATTGAATGCGCACCATGGCGCCACGATTGATTGATTTAATGCGCCATTTTTCACTTCATTGCGACTATGGCGCATGGCACAAGCCCTTCCTAATCACTGCTGCATGTACATTTAAAAAACATGGTTATTGTGAACACGCTTTGACACTTACGATGAAGTGAATTTGAATCCCTGTGACATCAAAATATATCGTAAACTTAACGGATATTACAAATTACACTTATCACGAAGCAAAATGGCCTCTCCCATGTACTTCGTTATAAGCGTGTTTTACTGTATTATTATTGCCTGTATAAGACTTACTGCATAAGATCCCCAGTGACCATAATAAGGATCCATCCCTGCCATTTGGCTCTGATCTCCAGAACCATTCTGTGTTCCTTCCACTTTCTGTTTTTTATCCAATGGTTCATCACTATGAGAAAAGAATAACGAGAAATACAGTATATTTCATCTTGCAGGTCTTAGCATAAAAGTATTACAGAATTTACACAAATGAGACTTATCCATGCATTCTAGTATGTGGTTTTCAGATCAACCTTTTACATCTGTCAATTCATTTTACTAAATAGACAAGACATAAATAATGTTTTTGATGGTTACAGTTGAAATTGACTTCCCGAGAGAACACAATTTTAAACCGATGTGTCAACAGATTTTGACAATGATTATCTCTCAGGGTGTCTATTTCAACTGACCCGCTTAAAAATGTTCACTCATTGTCAATATTCAACATAAAAGTATAATTAAGTAAATAATAAATAGAAAATGTGTTCAGTCAATGCCACATCTTATAAGTCTTTTTGTCTTGGTAAGAACTTACTTAGTAACCCCATCATGAGATCTCTTTTTTCTTTCATTGTGAAGTTCCTTCATCAGTCTCTGATGTTCATCATAGGATTCCTTCAAACTATGCAAAAAATAACACTGTCTATAATAAACATGTTGGAAACCTTTTTTAATGAAAGAATTTATGATTAATTTGATATTTGGGGAAAATATTCCTAAAATGGTTTTGAAACTTCATAACTTATGAATGTTAAAATAAAATGCTGAATTTCACATACGTTGTGATGCTAGCACAGAAGTCCTCTAGGAATTCCAGCTTTCTCTGAGACATCTTGGCTTTGGTTTCCAGAGGGAAGTTCTCACAGTCCAGGATAGAGGCAAATATCTGGATGACTCTCTCTTCACTGATGGGTCGTAACTGGTACTCCAGGTCTAACAGCTGCAGGTACAGTTTAATGTTGCCCTGAAAAATACAAAGATGACCTCCTACAAAGACTTTGTAATACGACAATTAGGTGCTCATCTCCATCAAGCGGTCCTCTCTATGACGACAAGATTACAAGACTTTGTATCACATTAGCATTACCTCTGGCCGGCCAAACTCATAAGCTTTAAAGGTTCCAACTGAAAATAATGATCAACATGATAAGAATGGTAAGAAGCCTGTCCGTTGAAGCTCTGCTTTATATTTGTGTTCACACTTGGTGACTAACTGAGAACATGCATTTGAGTCTTACCCTATCTTTTTCTACTGCTGTCTGAAGAGTGGTACGTGCCCGTTCAGTATCTCCAATAATCTGCAAATAACAGGCACAATTAGTAAAATGTTAAGTGATATTTCTGTATCATACATGTAACACTTCAGTGAATGTACAGTTGCACTCATAGTTCTTATCAGTTAGTGCGATATTCAACAGTACCATCATAAACATTCAAGTTCTTCATAAGAGCTGCCATAATACATGATTTTGGTATCTGTAAAGGAAATCAGTGACATACAAAGTAAATCTAGTCATGTTGTTATCTCAGTAAAGCATACACACAACAGTGGCTAGGACCTGTGCCCTGAAGTTGTCATGTGACATGAACGTTCCTTACCTTCAGGAGATAGCGGGCAAACTTGATGGAGAAAAAGGAGGCAATTTCTGGCTGGTTGGCATTGTTGATGTACTCCTGAAAAAGGGTCTCCGCCATGGCTGTGTTCCCCTTTCGTCGTTCCAAACTGATTTTTCTCATGTTCACCATCACCAATCCTGGTACATTTTTATCCAGGTCTGACAGTATTTGTGATGCTAGATCATAGTTCCCTGCAAAATATTTTTACCTTTTATAAACTATTACCTTTCATTAGTTACTTTTCTTTTATGCTTTCAGTACAAAATTTACCTTAAAAAAAAAAAAACAATTTGTCTAGCAAATCAACCAAAAATAAAATTTCCACCATATTCACAAAGTTTCAGATATTGATGTATAAAAGTACTTACCATGCCTTTCCTCAAATGCTGCCCAAGCTAAGCTTATGTATGGTTTCTTTGGTAGATGGATTCTACAGGCTCTCATATAAACCAGTCGCACGGCTTCAATACTATGGTCCTCCATATATTTTGCATACTGTAATTCAAGGATTTCAACATGATTATAATCATATACTTTTTTTTAAATTTCAAAATTGAGTTTTCATCTTACAGACACAAAGACATCCTGGCATGTTTATAAATCATTTCATCTAAAGCAAAAATAGAAATCCAAAAGTATCATGATAAATAGTTTCAAGTGAATTTGATACACTTTGCCAGTATACAGAAAGATTTCCTCAGATAAATGATGGATTCTGCATTTGAAATTATTACCTTCAGCCAAAAATCTTCATACAAAGCAGTAGCAATCATACATCTCTCAAACAGAATTACAACCCTTTCATGATCACCAGCTTCAATCTCAAAGTCAAGATACTCCTTCCAATTTTTCAGTTGAGACTTCTCTAGGGGTTTCACATGGAAATATGGCCTTTTAATCTACAGTTATAACATTTTACATTACATTTCATAGACATACCTACTGCAAAATATATATGTAATATTTCCAAATTCTTGTAAATTCTGAAATTTGTATCATCCATAGAAAACATAAAAGTAAAACAGGATAAACTTACAGCTTCCTCAAAATTCCATCTCTTGCTCACTTCATCTTCGGTCTTTTTAAATATTTCTTCTCTTATGCTAATGATTCTGTCCCTGAGCTTTCCTGCTTCATCGTCATCAGTCTAAAACAGAAGAAACTTCAAACTGAAACAGAGTGGTATGGAATCCCAAATTTGAATCAATTGTTATGTTCTATGCTCCAACAAAAATTTATTTCCCTTTTAACAACAGATATTTTTAAAAATACTAATATCTTCTGGCAGAATAACCTTTTTTCTGTACTTTTGAGTTTTGAATTAATTGTAAGTCTGAAGAGCACCCCTTACTTTATCTCCCTCCACTTCCATGCCTGGTGGTGCATCCTCCCCAGGTGGTCCTATCACCCCCGGAGGCCCATCATCCCCGGCAGCCTCCTCCTCTGGATTTAACTCGGACGTCCCCACCACGACCTCCTTCCTGAGCTGGAGAAAGTTGTCCAGGGTAAGGATTTCTTTTGGGTGATGGGACAAGACATGATGTTTAAAACTGAAAGTAAAAAGTCAGGAAATTATGACAAGTTTTACTGATCCAACTAGTTCTGCAAGCATTCATTTAGCAGATGAATATCTTTTTGTTAACATTTATGTAACAGGGGTATTATTTCTTGTTAAATATAACTCAATTTAGAAATAAATGATTTTTAACTTGTATGATATTCAGCAGTTTCCTGTGACATGGTACTTTTAGGTACAATTCCAATATGTCATTATTATTAATCTCCTTTCTTCTCTATGCATTTTACAATATATTTCTCAAGCTTAATGTTTGTTTAGCTACTTTTCAAAATGATGACTGTAGAGCTGTGTTGGGATCTGTAAGACTCTGTCATAGAGGGCTGTTTTACTGATCAGGTTTTCCTCCCAGGATATGTACGTGTCCCAGAGTTTGTCTGATCGGAAATCCTTACCACATGCTGCTACAGCTTTCTCATAGATTCTAAAAATAAAATCACAGCAAATGACATCAATGTTAAATAGATGCTTCTTTTTCTGCTTTAATGATATCCTTTTATTTCTTCATCTAATATCAGTTGATAACACACCCTCTAATTCCTTCCTCTCCATTCTCTAGTTTCCCATACTCTTCTGTGTAGAAGTTTATGTAATGTAACCAAAGTTCTACGCTCAAGGAAATTGCTTGTGTACCTCTCTCAAATACCTGAAAAGTAAAACAGGGGACTTACAAATATCAGATATTTTTGTAAAAGTTAGTTTGAAAGAACAATTTTATTCAATATTGATGCCATAACAAAATGTACTGTTTATCTATCACAGATGCATTATATTTAGAAGCAGGAAGTTTCTCATTCTTAAATACGTCGATGTGCCTAATAATGCATTTCAAATATTGTCTCCCTTTGCAAATGTTGTTTTGTTTCCACATAATGATATCATATAACAATACATTTTTTACGTTTCTTTAGAAATATTACCTCCATTGCCTTCTCTGGTCCTGATTGTTTTTTTTCCATATCAGCATATTTTTTCCAGTAGCCATAACAGTATGGGTAATGCTCAAAGAATGCATCATATGCTTTTCTGGCTTGATCCAGTTTTTTCTACCGGAGTCAAATGAGATAAACATGATATACACTAGAGAGAGTAGTAAATTTTACTCTAGAAGTTACATACCATAGATAGTTTTAATATTTAATAACTTTGTTTTCGTCTTACCTCTTGTTCCACATACTGGAGGAGGTAAGTCCAGCCTGTGAAATCCCCTGGGTTGTCCCTCACAGCTTTCCAGTACTTGTCTAACTCGGAGTTCACTTCCTCACCCTCCACCTCATTACTCTCTACTTCTGAAAATTAAAATCCAACAATTTTATTACACAATTGGAACTCATAATCTGAATGACATGAAAGCAATCAAATTTTTTATTTACTTCAGTATAAGCCTCATATGTTTTCTACTATTGAACGCATTGATGTTCTTAGTTCATGTAAAAAGAATATGATCTACAGGTTTGTGTGCTTACGAGTTTGTCATTTAGTTTATTTTAGAGCGTTTTCTTCCGACTGTCCTCCTGAACCCTACCCATGTTAGGCATTTTTTTTTCAAGAGTGACACTTATCTATCATTCCAATTTCCTTCTCAGTGAATACAATATAAAATGTTTACAGTTCTTTTACTATGAAGAATTATTGGTCAAACAAATGAGGAAATATGACATTGTGCAACATCACATATAAAATTTTTCTGTCATATTTTTGATTTAATGCACTTTCTGTTTTTTTCTTAACTTAATCGTCACATTTATAAACATTTACCATATTTAAATTAATAACTGTACACATTGTTTCCTCCTCACATGTGTATGCAAATCTCTCCCTTACAGTCCAAACAATGGGGACAATGACTTTCTTTACTTGTGAATACAAGTTTCCATATGAATGGTTATAAAATAACTGTCCAGTATCTCCTAAAATTTTCCTGTTTTCTTTCTTATAACATTAACAGAATTTAATGTAAAGATTGCTGATTTTTTGTGACTCCTTGTGTCTATTTCATTCTATAGCAAGACCTCGCGGTAGTTCGACTGTACTTAACTTTAATATGCAGATCGTAGTCTACAATGAATGAATGCAATATGTATTCCTGAAAAACTTAAAGATGCTGTGAAATCAGTTTCATTTAAGAAATAAAACTCTACACTTATAACTTTAAAAAAGAAAACAAAAACAACCATTTTGGTGTAAACATAATCCCAAATAATTTTACCGAGATATCGAAAGTAGAAACATAGAATAAACACGATGATTTTCACTTAAATATGTTGCACATACTAATTGATCCTTCCAATAATAACTTTATCTAAAAATGCGCTCTGAAAAATGCTCCTCTTACCCTGATGCCCCTCGATTTCATTCTTTACTTCGTCTCCAGTCAGAATCGACATTTTTCCCCGTTTAACCGGAAGTCAATTTTTGGAACTCTTCAGCATATGAGATTTTTGGTTCGGGATGTGAAAGTAGCAACAGATAGCAAGTGATACACTGAGACAGTGACTTCAAATATGGGGATGGGGAATGTACTTCTCCTATCACAAGTTATTGCGTTTTTAGTGTCATTTCTTGGTTCTTTTTTTATTTTTATTCCGGTGTCAATAAACTTGCAGGAATTTGATGGAAATTGTTTACTTGGAGCAAAGGGGACTTGGAACTACAGTTCAGATGTAAAGAGTGTGATTCTTATGAACATCGAATGGGGTCTCTACAGTGACTGTGGATTTTCTGTATTCGTTGGCGTTATTATTATGATCATCTCAGTGTTTTACATCATATGGCAATCAGTTTATTTGTTCAAAAACACTGACAGGTACTGTACGTTTTTAAGAGGCGGATCTAATTTCTACTATTAAACAATAACTACACATTTCATTTACCATGTTTACAGACATCAGAATAGATTATATATAATAAATAGCATCAGAGAGGATAAAAAAAAACTTCACTTATAAAATCTTGGCAAAATTTGTCACTTTTCTGTTTGTTTGTTTTTAAACCTTTTTGCCTAAACAGTTTATTTTTAGATCATGGTCTTGTGACATTTTGGTGATATGTACACATGTCTGGCACTGACATTTCAATAGCTAGAGTAAAACTTTGCATTAATATAGATCAATATGTTATATAAAGGGAGGACACAATTCATAGGGTTATCATAAAATTAGTGATTTCACAGTAGCTAGTTTAAATATTGCTGCTTTTGAAACTTTTGTGCTAAAAATGTAATAGTACATCTTGAGTTAACTGTATATCACAGTAATTATCACCAGGAATGCAGTGAGGCATGAATAAATATGGCTGTTTATAATACGCTGAATTATTATTAATCAGTAAACCAGGATAAGGCTTTATTATTTATTTCAGGAAGTAACTTTATGGTCATAAATCCACTTACATAGGTGTAAAGGTATAAAGCCCAAAAACTATGAACTTTGAGCAATTGCACTGAAGGAATACATCTTGGGAGCCATTTTTTTTTCATACATTGTGTTCTGAAAAGTTAACGATTTCATTTGAAGTTCAAAACCATCACTGCACCAAAGCGCAATTTTATTTTATGTGCTGAAAGAATTGCTCATTAAGAAATAAAGGAGTAATTAATTAAGTTGGTGATTTTAAGCTATAGATATGACTAAATGCAGTTATTATCCTGATTTTTTTTGGTTAACAAGTTTCCTTAATACATGCAGACCTGTATGGAATTTTTGATGATCACCTATAAAATTGTATTCATTATTGATTATGGATATGGAGGATATTTTATTCTTGAGCTGAAAGAATTTCTTATTAAGAAATAAAGGAGTAATTAATATATTGGTGATTTTAACAGACATCAAATAGTTATTATATAATTTTTTTGGTTAAAGTTAGTGGGAAATTTGAGGATATTTTACACTGACATAGTTTGTACATGCATTGTAAACTGACCATTATTTACTATTGCAGTTCCTGGTTGGATGCCTTTGTGACCTGTATTGTGTGTATCACTGTGTGCCTGCTGCTGTTTATCTGTGCCCTGGTTCTCAGTGTGGGCTACAACACATGGTGCCACACCTTAACAGGAAGAAAATCTCCTTATCTAAAGTCAGTAGCCATGTGAAACAAAAAATTATGTTTAAATTGGCCATAATCTTATATTCAGTATGTTTTTCTGTAGCTTTGCACTAAAATTGTGAATGTTGTAAATACTATATTCTGCAAGTTAACACCCTTTTTGTTGTTACAGTTTAATATTACATGTATTATATTATATTGTTAATTAATATCATATAAAGTTTGCTGCTTTACCATTTTTCATAATTTATTGCCAGATACACATGCACATATTGGTGCCAATAATATTAATATCACCCCAAAATGAGCAGTAAACATACTAAATTGAAATGCTGTAAACATTCATAAAAAAACTTATTTTCTTTCACTCAGATGTGAAGATACAGAGATGAATGTATTTATCACCGATTCAAACATTTACACAAAGAATATGTTTGCAGAATTCAACATGGCACAGGTAAGTACACAAAGTACATTTAGATTGTGATGGTCAAGAAAATCAAGAGAATTTGTAAGATCAATGCATTTATAACCTCTGACACCTGATAAGTGGTAATATTTAGTACTCATTAGATAGTAAGTTTTGGGACTGAGTGTTACCAGAGGGTATTTTATTTTATGTGCAGTGCATTATGCTACAATAATTGGTGTATAAATTCATATCTTATTATATTATGATTGTAGGAATATTTATGTCCTTTCTAAAAATGTAAGTCATCTATACAAAGCAATCCCCTATAATCACTAGCAGGAAGGATTACATCGAGTATCATTCTGCTACACAGCCTGTATTCTGTTGTAGTTTGGTGCCTGGCTGTGTTGGATCTGCTGGCTGGTTCTGTCTGTGTTGTCAGTCATTAAAGTTTACCATTACCACAAAAAAGAGGCCTTCCTCTCCAGCATGACTCGGGAACGACAGCGACTCTTACAGAGTGTGGGACATAGAGAGCCCATGGTGCTTTAACTGTGTGGATTCCATGCTGATTGATCAGACTATAAAGTGACCACTGTGCTATGTGTACTGCAAGATCCTTGTGACTAAATATAAGGCACCCTGTGTCTATTATACCCACTTTTGAGAAGAACCTAGCAACTGTAATGAAAATATTTTTAGTACGTTTTTTGAGAACTCAGTTGGGAAGGGGATATGTGATCAAAGATTTTCAATCTTTAAGTGATTTGTTTGTCTGTTTTATCTTATTATTTGACTTCTTGTTGTGGTTCACATGTCCATTTTTATATAGCTAAACTTCATATTTGTAAAGGCATATGGGGGGGTGTTATTCCAAATAGAATAAAAAATACGCTTTTTGTTATTGCATGTAAAAGGTCAATGGATCTTTAAATTTAGAACTTCAAAAAGAAAATAATCTTTAGACTTTTCTATGACAACTTTAAGTTCTTAAATACTGTTTTCTTTGACATGCAAAGTAATTTTGTGAAGAGGGAATGACACATAATTACTTACATTCAAAGTTTTATCGTATCATGATGATGGACAGAGAGTTAAATAGTAGAGAGAGAGGGAATCAAGTTTCTTTTTTTTAATATGAATTCCAATATAAAGGAGACACAATGGTATACCATAACTCAAAGCTCACCAAGTTAAGAAAGGGTAAGATCAAACTTATCTAAGTACAAAGGACTTTATTATTAAGCACATCAAAGACTAGCTCTTAATACTCCAATATAATAGGGTTTTTTATGCTGAGTTACTAGAGTATTTATTTATAGTCATTGTTATACTGTGAAGATATTTATAAATACTCAGTTGTGCTATTGTTGGTGTTACTTGATATTACATAATGTGTTAAACACTGAAGCTTTGACATACATGTATGACATACTCACAAATTGCAAATTTCCTGTTTCATAAATTTTAAAATACTACAAATTTAGACATAAATATAACAATACTCATTTTTGTATCCATGTCCTGAATATGCACACACACCCTCATATTTTTTTCCATGTACCTTGGTACATTGTTAAAATTTAACCTTTATATATGTGAAAAGAAAGTACCATTTACATAATTTTAAAAGTGTTATACATTCTATGCAAGACATTCATTTGTTACTAAGTCTCAGTTCATTTGCTTGGTAAGAGGGAAGGAATCTACTTTATATGTAAGAAAATATAATAGTTGTCTATCTGCTGTATTGTAATTTCTTCAATAAATGTATTTCCTGGGATGCATAATTCATTCTCTGATATTAAGGGAAAAATAATTGTCAGCATTTTATGGAGAGGAAAAAGTGTTATTAAGATAAAATATTAAGTATATTTTTAAGTAATGCAAAGTGCAGTTGTATCAACTTGTCTGTGAATCTGCCATATTAACCAATATCCACTTGTAGATTTTTTTTTCAATTAATTGTATATGTCATGGGCATTCATTTGGTTTGAACATCAATACATGAATCTATTTTAGAATCTCACAATGTAAACTTTGTTAATATCTATATGTATGATTTACTCACATACAAATAAACAAACATTTATATTCAGTGTTAAAACGTTATTTGATTTATAGCAATCAATATACAAAACTGGTCTGGAGTTCAAGAACAGACAAACCTTGCTGTTAGGTGTTATATATCTAGTAAGCTTGAATAACTTTGTCTAGCTTTACCAGTCTTGCAAAAAAATTGCTTGAAAACAATTTCAAAATAAGATTCAAAAGCAAGGTCAGTCAATATTATTTTTGTAAAGAAGATGGGTGAAGAAGGTGAGCAAAATGCCTATCTTTAATATCTATAGTGCCAAATCATGAAGAGAAACAAGAGGACCATGGGCTACATTGCTCTTGAACCTAAGCACTTTGGCTAGGAAAAAGCAGAAATCAGTTCAGTATTGACGTATTTAAATACAAGAGGCCAACGGGCCTTATAGGTCACCTGAGTATCATGCAACAACTTTCCAAGAATTGAATTTGGTTCTTGTTTTAAACCACAGGCCATGAAACACAATTTTGAAAGAGTCACCATTGCGAATCATAATTATAGACTTAGCATGCTTACTTTTATTACTTAATACCCAGAGGCAGATCAGAGGAACAAAGAAAAATGCATTTCCACTATATACTGTATACAGGGAAATTTTCACCCTCATTCTATTTTCGCTCCTTTCACCCTTGTCACAAGTGGGCGAATTTAAAACGGGGCGAATTTAAAGAACACAGTATAAATTCTTAAACAGACTGGGACTGAGCGAATTTAAAATGGAGCAAAATTGTAAGCAAGTGTAAAAGAGCGAAAATAACACAGGGTGAAAATAACCCTGTATACAGTAATCAGAAAGTGTCCCACTCCAAAAGAAACCACTGACCCTTGGGCACGTATATTATAATTTTTGAAAAGGCACCTTTGCTATTCATGAATGGTTGAATAAATACCAAAGAGCATATTTCAAAGCATTAATTCATTTTCTGTATATGATCATTAGAGCTTCTCCCTCCCCAGTACCCCTGACCCAGGGGGAAATGAAATTTATTTTGGAAGAGGCACTTTTCCTCATTTTAAATATGTACTTAGAGCATCCGCATTATACCAGGAGCAGAGGAGGAGATTTTCAAAGAATTAATTCATTTTCATTAGCGCCCCGCCCTAACACCAGAACCCCTGACCCAGGGGCTGTGAAATTCACAATTTTGGACGATCGAGGCACCTTTCCTCATCATAACAATGTACATAGTTCATTAGTTTAATACCCAGGAGCAGAAGCTAGAGAAGATTTTTAAAGAATTAATGCATTTTTACTATATGATCTATATAGCCCCGCCCTAGCACCAGAACCCCTGACCCTTGGGCCATGAATTTCACAATTTTGATAATATGCCAAAATTGGTTGAAATTGGTTCAGTGGTTCCAGAGAAGAAGCTGAAAATGTTCAAAAGTTTACGACCGATTGACGATGTACGACCAACGACAGACGAAAGCAGATAGCAATAGGTCACCTGAGTGACTCAGGTGACCTAATAAATGTGGTCTGGGGGATGACTTGATCAAACCTGAATCTACATTACCTGAAGATGCTTCCATATTTCTTTTACTAATCATGGTTTTTTCAAGAATTTTTCCTATACATTTGATCTTCTGTTGTGGCCTTGCCCAATCCCTTTAGAACATGACATGAACATACTTAAATATACACTACCTTAGGATGCTACTAAATTCATTTGACTGAGCATAGCATTGCTTTTATTGAGAAGAAAATTTTTAATAATTCCCTTTTATTCCCTTTTATAACTTTTCTACTATTGTGGCCCCGGTCCTCTCTACTCCTGAGGGGTAAAACTTGCATGATTCTTGATCTACACTACCTAAAGATGATTCCATAGAAATAAAAGAGGCCCACGGGCCTTATAGGTCACCTGAGTATCAAGCAACAACTTTCCATCAATTGAATTTGATTCATGTTTTAATCTCCAATCCATGAAATTCACAATTTTGAAAGAGGCACCATTGCTTATCATAATTATACACTTAGCACACTTACTTTCGTTACTTAATACCCAGAGGTAGATCAGAGTAACAAAGAGAACCACTGAACCTGGGGCCACATATTCCAAAATTGTATCATAAAGAAAGAGTGGACTGAACGCCCTATTTTGGATCTTTTTGCGACTCCTCCCAAGGTGTAAATGAAGTGAATCCATAATATATTACGAGCAATGGAAATAGCTATATATACATTGTACTTGGTTTTATTAGGTGGAACATTTGTACAAAAACAATGCCCTGTTGTCATGTATCAAAATTGAAGCAACGATACATGAGTATCGTCTTCCGGAATTCGACATGTACCCGGAGTGGTTTTTATGTCACACAATCAATATTTATAGGAGGTGGGGCTATCGATCGGCGTCATTGTTGACATCTCTCTTTCTCTCTCCAGAAATTCGAATACGTGTAATTCATATTACAAGCGATGTCATTATTTTAAAAATGTGAAGAGTTCAAGACACGCAAAATTAAAACAATATTTATTATGCTAAATTCTGAAAACGGAAACAAAACACGCTCAAAGACATGATTTAGATCGAGGTCAGGTTGAAGAATACAATGTAACTACTCGCAGGTGGACATCGCGTGATGAATTGTAATATTAAACAGGTCAGTCAAAGACATAACAATGGAAGCGAGAAGTTTGTTTCGAACAAGTTTTTGTTAAATTAAGTATGAGCACACATTTGTCGGCTCTTCTCCTTTTAATATAACATTACATGTATTTTGTTCAATATACAACTACAGTTTTCTTAAGAACAGCCGACAAATATGTGCTGACTATGTATTCATACTATGAACAACGCGTGACCCTGATTATCTATTGATATTCAAGAAATCTTCAGGCACCCTGCCTTCAATATTTATATAGTTTACCTAAAAAAAAAGCGTTTTTAATTCACATCCGTACCATGAATACATGGTGAAGATATTGGGGGTTTATATGATGGAAAAAAAATTAAAATTTTATGAAACTTAAATTTACGGCATTTTTTCTGGTCAGTTAAGTCCACCCATTCTTTGATTAATACCAAAGAGCAGATTTCAAAGCATTACAAAACGTACTTTATTTTCAGACTATGTACCCCCACCACAACCACTCCAGTACCATTGACCAAGGGGCCCTGAAATTGACCTTTTTGGAAGAGGCACCTTTCTTCATCATATATATTATTAAATGTGTACTTAGATCATTGGCATAAAACCAAGGAGCAAAGGAAAGATTTTTACAGAATTCATGTATTTTCACTATATAATCATTAGAGTCCCGCCCTAACACCAGAACTCCTGACATTGGGGCCCTGAAATTCACAATTTTGGAAGAGGCATCCTTTCTACATACAATGTAATCATAACTATGTACATTCAAAATGTAGTTCATTGGTTTAATAGTCAGGAGCAAAGGAGAAGATTTTTAAAGAATCTATGCATTTCACCATATAATCAATAAAGCCCGACCCTAACACAAGAACCCCTGACCCTGGGGCCATGAAATTCACAATTTTGGAAGAAGCAGCCTTATTCAACATAACTATGTACTTGGTTAGTTTATTTTAATGCCCAGGATCAGAGAAGATTTTCAAAGAAATAATGCATTTTCATTTTATATTTAGCCCCACCCTAGCACTAGAACCCCTGACCCTTGGGCCATGAATTTCACAATTCTGGTAGACGACTCAATGCTGATTACCAGGGTATAATCATGCCAACAGTTTGACTGCTTGATGTCCAGGAGTAAAGAAGATTTTTAAAAATAATTGTAGTGGTTTAGGCCCCACCCCTTAGGCTCCGGGGGGGGGGGGGGGGGGGACCATGAAATTCACATTTTTGTTCCCATCACCCATAGAAGCTTTGTGCCAAAATTGGTTGAAATTAGCTAAGCAGTTGCAGAGAAGAAGCTGAAAATGTTCAAATATTAATGCACGGCTAAGGAAGAAAACGGATAGCAATAGTTTACTCAGGTGACCCCAAAACCATGCTTAGCTGTTCTTGAGAAGAAAATTTTTAAGTACCCCTATGTTACACTTTGATCACCCATTGTGGTCACACTCTAGCTCAGGGGGTCATGATTTAAACAAATTTGAATATACTCTACTTGAAGATGATTCCATGTACATTTCATATTTTCTAGCCCAGTGTTCTTGAGAGGAAGATTTTTAAAAGATGCCATTAATTTTTCCTTAATTCATAATTATCTCCCTTTGAAAGGAGGCATGGTCCTTCTTTGAACAAACTTAAATCCCCTCTACCCAAGGATACTTTGTGACAAGTGTGGTTGAAATTGGCTGAGTGGTTCTTAAGAAGCTGAAAATGTGAAAAGTTTACAGACAGATGCAGAAACACCTACTAAATGTAATCAGAAATTAAGATCACTTGAGCCTTAGGCTCAGGTAAACTAATTAAAATTTAATCTCAATGATAACAAAATTTTATTTCACATTTCAAACATTAAACTTTACTAACATGCAACACACATAGAATCTCTACAATTTGCAAAAATCTCACAAAGATTGAAACCATTTGTCTTTGAAATTGCATACACACACTAAAGAGGCCTCAAAGGGTCACTTTCTCTTACTATAACATAATTTTCAATATTCATGAGTGGGCCTTTGCTCCATTTTTTTGAAATTTATCTGTAAAATTTGGGTAAAAATGGTATTCTTTGGTTAACAAAAACCTGGAACATTTTATAAAGACACACTATACTTTAAAAATACAGTTTCATGACAGAATATTAACACCTTTCCAAGAAAAATTTTGTCCATTCAGTCAAGGGTCATATCACAAACATGACTTAAATGCCACTATTCTTCAGAAGTTTTGTAGCATAAAGGTTAGTGTGCAAGTCAAAGGAAAGTGATACTGAGGATTTTTATAGCAAGAGTTTGAATTGCACCAATTATTAATAGAATAATTTTCCTGTTAATAGTTTTATCATTAGACGTATTTCAAAAATGTCAACATGAGAACTAGAATTCCTGGAAATACTAAATTCATAAAAATGAATATCATTTTAACATATCTAAAGCTATAGGCATTCTGCATGCCTTGTTAACCCATCTTCTTACATGTACGTAGTCCTTGTAATGAAGAAAAGTACAAGAGATTATGTAAAAACAAGAGATATTTGTAAAACACATGCCCCCCTCCCCCAAATAATCAGAATTTTTCTAAGTTCAAGGGGCATAACTCTGTCAAAAGAGGTTCGATCATACCCAGAACAGAACTTGACCTAGATATTTTTAAAGATAAATCTCTACACCTAATTTCATTTCAATACGAGGGGTTATCAAAAAGTTCGTGGACTGAGGCTATAAAATTAGTACTATGTTGTCTGAGCTTACAAAATTTATAAGGAACATAATACAACAAAAAATAAAGATATGTTAAAAATTTTAGCTTGATACGTTCATTATTTCCAAAATTATTATGAAATAAAAACGATATTATATGATCACCCGGCGCCGGCACCGTTTAGTTTCATGACGTCTGACAACGTCATTATTTTTCAATCTTCTACCTCGTACACTTATTTTGATGAGATTCCCTAGAGCTGAGTAAGTACTTCAATCCGTCTTGTTTATATGACTTTACAATATCATGAACAGAGGCTTTCAACGCATATATTATTGCAAATGGATTCATACATTGGGAGAAATCTTGTTTTTTGCAGTTCAATATGATTAAAAAACATGATCAACATCATTATTTGACGTGATTGTTTTTTCAACCCTTGATTACAAATCGACATTAACTGTGCATCCCTTTTCTCTCTAATCTATTTTGGCATTAAAAAACAAGTAATCTGGATGCATATTATTTTTCCGTAGCCAGTTTAAACATTTCCTGGTGTATACCAGTTTTCCCAGGGGCAAAACTTTATAAAATGTTGGAAAAGGAAACCCCTCCCCCCTTCTGACGTCATTTTCAAGGCAATATTTGTTTGGGTACTCCATGTAAAATTTAGGATAAAATTTCATAGAACTTCCAGAATGAGGTAAAAATTTAATATGTTATGGAACAATAGTGTCCCAACACATACCTGAATTAACGGGATTTTTTGAAGTCAAATGTTCATATCAAAATAGTTTTTCTTAGTTACACTTAGGTCGAAAAAAAAAACGTTGTTTTTGAGGTTGCGCCGCATGGACCATTATTGGACACACCATTGCTTAAAAAAACATAACTTATTTATTTGAAAATAAAATTTAAGATTTGTGATTTATTCTATAGATAGAAAAGATTATGATAACTTGATGTTTTAAAATTCATTCATGTACCTAAAGCGGTTTTAATTTTATGGCGCTAGTCCATGAACTTTTTGATAGCACCTCGTATGTACAACTTCTGCAAAGAAAATGAATGGAAACTGCAAATACATTGGAATTTTTCTAGGTCCAAGAGGGCTGAAGAGGCATAACTCTGACCAAAATGGTCTGATCCTACCCGAAACAAAAGTAGATCTAGATATTCTTCTGATAAATCTGTATATCAAATTTCATTTCAATATGTTCAACCTCTCCAAAGAAAATGAATGGAAGCTGATGGTGGACCGACAGACTGACAGACAGACTGACCGACCAACAGACAGACAGCAGCAAAGCAATATGCCCTGCCTTCTTCGAAGGGGGCATAATAAATGTATCTTTTAACAAGAAGATGCTCTTAGAGACTTTTTGGTGCTAGATCCATTATAACGTCATAATCACTTTCACCTTTCTTTTTCCCGTACTTTACGGCTCTAATAGAATTATGTAGAAAATAAAGCATTTTCATGGAATTCAATTTAAAATCACATGAAAAGTAGTCCGGATACCTATATTAAATTTAACATTATTTAAAAGAAGAGACCAAGAACATACAAATTACCGTTTTCTGAAAGACTGTAGGCAATCTGGATACATTTTGTTGTGTGCTATGCAAAAAAACTCCCATATTCATGTCTAATTTTCTTAATTTTTCATTGAAAATGACAGTTTAAAATATGGTTTTTCATCTTATTTTCCTACAAATTATGCCCCAAAACACCTTTTTTGAACAAGCTAAAGTTATAAGGCATCATTAAAGGAATTCATTTCTTGAATTTGATAAATCTGTAGGCACCCTTCGTTTACTAGATCTTGACCTTAACAAAAGAAGTAAGTAAGCATTTTAAATACAGTATTCAGCATGAAATATGTATGTTAGACAACTAGCCCAGCATAATGTTCAAGGAGTGTAGGTCTATTTATAGCTACAGAACCAATGGGATTTTTAATTAAACCCTGATTATGCTAAACATGTTCATTTATATGTTATTTGTTGAAACTGAAGGAGTTTTTCTATTAAATCCATGTATATTGTGCACTAATGTTTAATTTAACAGCAAGAATTATTTAAAATTTATTATCTCTGGTATCCATTAATCTATAGTTATTATTGTAAAAAATAAATAACATTTAAACTAAACTCTTTTAAAAGAATTTAACCATGTAATTTTAGCATTATATGCATATGAAAACTTTAAGTTACATATATAAAAAAAATCTAAACATATCTGGTTGGATTTATAGCACTATTATATTTGCACAAATTAAAAGGATATGTTCGAAAAAGATATCACAGACAAGCCAGCAAACACTGGCCCCCGGCAGCCATTGACAAACAATATTGATGCTGCATTGATATACAAAGTATGAGAGGAAGTTAAGGTCACATTTTTGTGGTAAATACTTCAAGTCTTCTCTGAATCTGTTTGTTTCTGTGATTGGTGGAAAGAACTACTCTTGTCTTTGAAAAAACTGAAGTCTGTGTCAGGCTTTTCCTGGAGAGTGTCAGGCATGTATTCCACGGCCTCTAGATCCACCCCTAAAACTGAAAGATCAGGGTTCTCTTCCTGCAGAAGTAAGCTTACAAACGACTTATTCCCTGCACTCGGTAAATCATTCATACGCAAGTATTTCAGATTTCTGGAATTAACGAAAGAATGGGATCATGTAACAAATAATATGAATATTTTCTATATATTTTTAAATGCTATATTCCAGACAAATTGACTGGGAACCAAAGGATAAATATATAATGCATATTAAGAGGAATATATAATCCAGCTCTTGGTACTGTATCTTCTACAGTTTTGCTAACCTTAAGGTTTTAAATTTTCTGCTGAAAATAATTGATTTTGTTTAACTTTAAATGATTAGCTTAATTCATTAGATTATTCTCATATAGCGATACATAAATATGTACATGTATAATTTATATTTAGATGAACTTTGTGACTTACTTTAATTTTTGTAATGCTCCAATACCATTATCAGTCACTTGTGAACAACCACTTATATCCAGAAACTCTAGTGTATCACTGACCATGTATAACCGGGAAAGACAGAAGTCATCTACTTTCTTACAATCCTTTAAAATCAGCATCCTCAAGGAGGTCTCTCCTGAAAAAAAGCATTTTAAAATATCTGGCATTTATCAAACAAACTTTCCTCATGTACATGTAATTATTATCAAGACTCTAAAGAAACTAAAATCTCAGATGACTGATAAGACTGTAGTTTTAACAGTTTTTTGTTTTGCTTAAAAAGAGAAAAGTTGCACTTAGACTTTTGATTAAAATCACAATACATTTGTACATTACAGCTGTATAGTGTATTGAATTTAGACCAAAACTATAGGAGGAGTAGTGTTTTGAAAATACTTTACAGACAACCAGACAGACGAAAAAAATACATGGAAAGATGACAAACACCTCGCTATGGTATTAGCTCTTCGATCTAGTCTCTATTGGCGTTTATAAAATTTGAAACCTTTTCATAATATTGAATTTGAACTTGAAAGGAGAAAAGTGTTCTATAACAAAAGTTATTCATTTTCAAGTTTAACACACTGCATACTTTCTATACTTTTAAAGGTTAGGCTTACATCCCTTAGAATTTGCCATACAAAGGAAAATCACCAACAAGAGTAGATTAAGCAGAAGTCTCTGACTGTATTATGTGTATCTCTATTGCATTGTAAGAAAAGAAAAGTAGAATTTGGTATTGAAACCTTGACAATGCCAAAGAATGGAATTCTTAATTACCAGTTTAGTCTCTTTGTGTGACAAGTATTACTGGAATTGCAGTAAAACTGTAGGAAGAGTAGCCTATTAAAAGAATTTCATATAATTTCATAAAATTCTTTCATAGTAACTATAGCAACAGTTTATCATAATCAAAGACTAGAATTATTTATCTTCTTGTACTGTTTAGGTAGAAGTTAAAAACTGGACCAAAACTGCAACAGGAGAAGAATTAAACAAAAAAATCAAAGAATTCAGAAGACTTACAGTCAGACAGACAGAAGAAAGAGATTCATTACAATTGCACGAGTGCTTCTGGTTTTTTATCAGTAGAACTTAAAATGAATTATTTCTTCATAAAATGCTTTTGAAATGACTGCATGGCTTCCATATCAAAAATGTTGTTTAGCTGATGCAGAGATCTGTTGTCAGTGAACTATTCAATATATAATCTTTGAAATTCTTACCAAGGCAAACCAGGATGAGATGAGATAGTGATCTTTGAACTTAAAACTGGGTAATAAAACCAAACCAATTTATTTCCATTTAGTTTAAAGAATGTCTTTTTTTCTTAATATTCATGGTTATGTAATAAATTTAGCAAAAGCTAGGAGAAAATCACTGGCCATATAATTCACAATACTGCAAACGTATTACATTTAGCGATGTATTCTATTTAGCAATTTTGGCGGAAAGCAGAGTCCGCTAATTCAAGTACATCGCTAAATGTCTTGTATATTAACATTTATAACTAGCACATTCAGACAGCGCTAAATCAAATCTACCCTAACTTGTTGAAAATTGAATTTCCACCAAATATCTTACACGCCAAATGTAATACATTTACAGTATATAGCTCGCCATTGTCATTAAATACATTGAATATATAGATATTCATATTACTTAAACATTCTAATCCTTCATATTGGATAGTAGACTTTGTGAGATCAGCTACTTGTAAGAAGAGGTTTTCAATGCGGTTGGTAGGTAATGGTATTCGATCTTTTTGTCGTTCAATCCACTTGTCCAGTCCAGTAAATTGGACTCGTCCCCCTACTTTCAGGATTGTATGAGCTGCATATAGGTTGGCACCAAGCTTTTCCACTTTCTCTGTATCCAAGCTGAAAAAAAACCCCACATAGACAAAGTCATAATTATAAAAACACATTTAAGGTTTCAGCAAGTATGCATTAGGAACAAAATCACATTGGATATGAAATTGGCTTAATTTGACCCATATCTCAAATTAATTTTTTTTTAAAATTCGAAATAAATCAACTTCTAACCATTTTGAACTTAATAAAAAAAAAAAAGATGTGTTTGTGAAATACTATGCACCCGGCAGCAACAAAGTTTGAAAAAGCTTTTTTTAGCATATAGGTCAGTCAAGGTCACGTCATTGACCTTGGTGTCATTTGAAAGAGCTTAATTAGTAGAGTATATGCATACCAAAATGTAGTGCCCGTACCAAACATTCTAACAAATGCTCATGAGCAGCTCATGAGACTCACATGAGAATCAAGTAAGAATTGTATGCAAATTAGGTAGAATTGGATTTGGCTCATGTGCAGATTGTTAGTCTTCAATTGTTAGGGAGGAAAATACTAACCAAAATGCACATGTGCAAAATTATGCTCACCTCAATGCTCATGAGCAAAAGTCTATTCTATTTGCTCACCTAAGAACAGCCTTATTTAAGATATAGCATTGGTAGTGATTTTTCTAAGTTCAGTTTTCTCAAGTGAGCAAGAGGTGAGCAAGAGGTGAGGAAATTGGACATAGTCAAAATTCAGTATTACAAGTAGAACCAAAACCAGAGAATTACAAGTCTCAATTCCTCATGTGAGCCTCACGTGAGGAAATACAATACTTTGACACTCTATGTGGTCCAAGCTTTCCCAAGCCTTTATTACAAATTGACCATGTGTTAAGCATTAACACTTCCTGATGATAGCATCACAAATGATTGGGGACCAGGCAGGAATATCTTAATTTACTGAGCTTCTAATCTTCATATTCCCATTAATTTGAAAATGCTTTCCACTTCCTAAACAACCTGTTGTGTCCCCCACTGTTACTTAAAGTGGGGCAGTATCCAATGAGGAGAGCCAGTCAGGATTTGTGCGCTTTCTCAGACCAGTTCAAAATTTCAATACAAAATGTTTGTGAGGGTATATGGATTAAAACAGTGAAGAACTGAAATATGCTTTTGGAAATAGACATGTCATCACCATATTGAACTAGATGCCAGCCTTTAAAAGTTATAAATGTATCCAGTATGTCCATGGGATGATTAAAGATCAATTAGATATACCATGGTGCAGCCACAATGAAGGAAAATTTCAAAGATTAATTTGCTGATCTGAGAATAGGGTAAGTGCTCTGAAATTTATTATCCCCCCTCTCATTTCAGATATTACTAATTAAAAAAAATAATATGTTTGTGTGTTAATTATCAGTGCATTTAATTTTGATATATTTAATGCAGAATGTTATCAGGAATTACAGCAAAAGTGTACAATTGACATTTACTGTCTCAGTGCGGTATTCTATGAATTACATGTATTTAAGTTGCCTAATCAAATATTGATGCATATGATTTTTCTACTCACTGGCTTTTCATGACCAACGGAACCTTGAAAATATACTAACTATAAATTCAAATTTTTTGCAGATGAAAGTTGGAATCAAAGGATCTGCAGATTAATCATGGACCCTAGCTGAGCTTGCATAACATGACAGAGTTCTGATGTTGGCACTCATTTAAAGGAAATGCAAGGAAAAAGAATGGAACAGGATGAATTGATTATGATTCTTATGACCACTGGATTATTATTTTACACCCAAGTATGACTGCATGCCACTCATAAATTCAGCAAAGGCAGAAACATCTACTTAGCCTCCAAGACAACTTTAAGACAACTTTAATCCATCTAGTACTAGTGCAGTCAAAAATGTTGACTGGACATTTACATTGGATGTTCTATATTAATCTACTGGAAATGGAACTATTGGATAATAATACTTTAATTGATGTGTACTGTACATAATTATAATAATTTAATTAAAGTTTTCATTTCATTTTAAGTTTAAAAAATGAAGTTCAATAAATGCATTCTATTTACATGTACATGTTGCTCAAGAGTATGCATTGATGAATCACATTTTAAAATTACATAATTATATAATGTTTGTAATCTGAATTTTGTTCTATTGTTGCTTGTTCAAGTGAGCAATTGTTGCACATTAGTCTCATGAGCCTCATGTGAGCAATATTCTAGGTGAGCAAAATGATTCCTCACGTGAGCAAAAAATGCTAATGAGCAGAACCCTGCTCACGTGAACATTTCACCTAATTTGCATGTTAAATTGCACATGAGACTCACGTGAGCAACTCAGGTGAGGAAATCTGGTTAGTCCTCACGTGAGCTGCTCATGAGCAAATTGTGAGAATGGTTTGGTATGGGTGTCTATCTCTTATGGTTCATAAGTTATGGCGATCTATTAAGGTTCAAAAAGGCTATTATTAGCATATAGGTTACAGTCAATGTCACAGACATTGACCTTGGTGTCATTTGAAAGAACTTCATTAGTGGAGTATGCATACCAAATATGAATTGTCTCTATCTTTCATGGTTCAAAAGTTAAGGCGGAGGTTAAAGTTGACAGACAAACAGACAGGACAAAAACAATATGCATCCCCAATCTATCCGGGCACATAAAAATTGAAATATAATCATATCACATGATTGTTTTTAAACCCCAGCACCGGTTACAGTGACGGTACTACTTCATACCTCTGTTCCTTTCTCTGTTGTATATCAATCATATTCTGTATTGAGCGTCTAATACCCTTAATAGAAAAGTCACTATCAAGCATCATCATAAATTTGTTAAAGTTTACGAATGGCGATTTTCCATCATCAGGAAAACTTCTCATATACTCTGGCTCTGTCAAAGGTTTTCCCAAGTTGCGATCAGCAAATTTTCTTGTCTGCCCAATAAACAGTTCTGACCAAAGACTGTTGATAGGTCCAAGAGACCTCTGTAAAGAAATAAAAATAATGAAAAAATCATGCATTTTTATAGATCAACGGAAAAGAATGTGAGTATCCATTACCCTTAGGTTAAACATCACTGATTTATCCTTGGTCAACCTCAAGTGCTCTACATGTGGATAATTCCCCTGCCGCTTACAGCATGTATGAAATAAAGGTCAAGGTTAATGATAATATTTTTTTGGTTTGCCTACAGCAATAACCAAATTTAACAATTATTGCATCATTTTTTTCCTTTTGAGGTAAACAATACACAGTCTTGATTATACTTAAATGCAACAGTCTAAAATATTTACAGAGTAAACTTTTTTTCAATGTTTTCTACTTTCATTTTCGCTTTTATGAAGAATCCGTGATGGCAGCATTAAATAGAAGACGGGTAAAATATTTATTTTATATTGTTTTCTAAATCTGTTTTATATGTTTAAGTTTCTAATATATTCTTGAAAAATATATCAGAGTTTAATTATATAATTATATTAACATTGCTTATCAATTCTTCGATATTAACTCATTGGCCATTGGGGGTGTTGGTTTTTTTCCCTGTCAGGTCCATGTATCCACCTGCCACTAAGTTTTGCGCTGTTGCCCCTGGGCCTCTTGTAACCTAAGTTCACTTTCAGTTTGAAGACTGTCATGCTTTAGTTGTTACATCATATTTGTAGGAATCACAAGATGATGAAGATTACTGGATGAAATCAACAGTCAATAAAAATAAAAGCAAGTTCAACATTTTTGACGATGATGTAAGTTTTTACCTGTGTATAAGAACATTGCATTTTTATAGCCAAGAACTATGAAATACTTTTCAAGGCAAGAGACCTTCTAGGATTTTAGTCCCAGTTCTCTCTTTCCAAATTGTTTTTAATAGTTCTTCTGATTTTGTCATTTTTGCTTTGTAAATTTGTAATTATAGATTACTGTAGTCACAATAACTCCGTAATTATAGGTAACCGTAGAAACAGCCGAGGACCTGGCCAAATCTAAGAAACTCTTGTCTCAGTTTGATGAGGAGGATGTGGATACAGTTAACTGGGACGACACTCCCGTGCCCAAGTCAATAACATCCTCAGCTATTAGTGGTGAGAGAATTAAGTATTTAGTGGATATAGATAACTGGGACGACACTGTCTACCCAAATCTATATCACACTGTCTACCCAAATCTATATCACCCTCCACTATCAGTGGTGAGAGAATTGTGTAATTACATGGTCATACATGTATAAACTATATCGGTCAAAAGTACTTGATAGCAGATTTATACTGTTCGTTTCATATTCTTCTGAAAGCTTTTACCTTTTAGCTATATACGATTAAAAAAATTCTGCAATGATAACAAAATGTTTTTCAGAGTACTCTGATCAATATGGTTATATGCAACTTAAATGACTATAAAAAGTTTACCTGTAGAAAATTTATTTCACATTTTGGTTTATTTTATTTGTGAGTGCTTATATTTCTAATATTGTCCAGGTGATGGTGTTATGATTCAAATGCATGAGGGTACAGTTTACAAACATAGTTTATTCATACATTGCTTGTGTATCTTTTTCCATGTATATGTATCATATGTATGCTCTGAGCAACTTGAACTTCAAACTTTCAAATGTAAAACATTGTTCATGGCTGTGTTTTATTTTCCCCTCAGACACCGCCTCCTCCCTCCCTAAATCCTCCTACTCTACTGTGCCCAGCACCGGGAATGTCCCGCCTTATATGACACATTCCAGGTCACACAGTGAAAGCTTTGGTAAGCAGTACAATGTCTATGTGTTTGCTCCATTGTAACTCACTTTATTCTGCAAAGCTGAAGTACATGTTGATTTATTCACTAATGAAAATCAGCCATTTATGAGGTTGAATCCCTCATCTCCTTATTCCTTATTTGACTGCATCTGCTTGAACATTTTATGAGTAATCATGTATCTTAAAACTTTAAAAAGAATATTGCATGTATACATAACATTTTTGTTTTATTTTTTGGCTGTTTACATCTGCTAGTATGACAACTGCATGTCCATATTTTTTATCTTTACATTCACCATTAAAAATCAGATAAACCTACCTGGTAGTTACTCTGAATTGTAATTAAGTAACTAAAATATTAAATTGTTAATGTATATTTTAAGTGTACATTATAAATGTCTTTGATCTGTGTAGGTGTGTCAGCTCGAGTGTCCTTCACCCCTCCCACACAGGATCTCTCGGTTCCTGCGGTACAGTACAGTAAATCTCAGGAGAAACTCCACACCCTCGCCTCTCCCGCCAGTAACGTCAGTATAGAGGAAGGTAAGGGTAACACTGAGACTGGGGGACAAATCAAACCCTGCAATACCCTACTGATTAATGAAGCATTTCTTTTCATTGAATGTAGTTATATATAAATGAAAGTGTTTAAGGCAGGTATCTGTTGAAAGGAAAAGCACATGATGTAAAAGAGATTTATCTCCATTGAGTTACAACAAAAGTATTATTACTGGTATTATAAAGCAGTGTGACTTTATCCATGTATGATATTCATATTTTTTTATTTACAGCAATATCTGGTTACAAATCTACAAACTCTAGCTCCAGAAACCAGGAAGAAGAAATTCAGTACCTGAAGAGGGCTCTAAGGGTACATTGTGAATACATATTTAGTTGTTTGTAGTGTTACATACTTTGCACATACGGTATATTTTTATTTATATACTGTACATATTGATTATTGAGTTGTTTACAGTAGTTTTACATACCAATTGGGTTGTTTACAGTAGTGGTGCATGGAAGTATTTAGTAGTTATTTTTTTAGAAAAAGAACATTCAAAACACAAGAAAATGTGCATGTATTTATTTATGATTTCAGAAAGCTAAAGAACTTAAATTTTCACCAGAAGAAACCATTAGGAAGATGGTACTAGGAGAGGTAATGATATGACTGTCACTAAATGTAAACCTTTACTTAAGATTTTAAAACTTTAATAAACTTAATACACTAAAAGCAAAACTTGCAGATGATAGTGATTCAACAATTTATACGTAAAGGATCTTTGTAATAAGAAATAAATCACTAATTTGGGCAGAATATATGATATCTTTTTGGTGTTATTGAAATTTCAGCCATATAGTTTGGAAATATTTCGTTCTAAAGAAGAAAAGCTACAGCTTCTAGACAAGGCAATACAAGTACATGATGGAAATGCTATAACTGCTGTGAGTTACCAAAACACATAATGTACCTTGTGATCAATATGTTACATTGTATATTGGGGTTATAAAAACTTAAATTCTTGGTCTATAGTGTTTGAATGATAGAGGCCGTACAGGTACTTTGTAATAAAGAGATTTTTTTCAGGTGGTTTTATTCCTGAAACAAACCATCAAACCCTCTCTATTTAATCTTGAGCTACAGAGGCGACCTGTAGCTGTCAATCATTATCTCAGCTATCTCAGGGCCCACTATGACTTCAAAGAACTCGGGGATGTCCTTGGGTGAGTATTGACCCCTGACAATCCCAGACCAAGGTACATGTGTATTTACAAGTTATACATTTAATTTACCCATTAACATAGGTGATTAGGTAGGGGTTTGTAATGATGATTACTGGCTAATGATGTGACTGAGCAAGCAACATAAATTGATAATATATTAAAAAATGAAATATATGTATTACACAATGAAATGACTTTTTAAAATATAATCCATGCATGATGATAAATTTGTTAAATGAGTTAAAATTACAGGTACATACATGCACATACATGCAGATGCATATTCATGATATAATTGGCCAAGACTGTGTTCTTTCAACTGTTCTGCTAAAAATGAATAACTGCACACGCAAACTACCTGTTGGTCAATTTAGAATATTCAAATTTTACATTCCATTATATTATTGTCTGGTGCATAAAAAAAGTCATTAGTTGTCTTTAAATACTCTCTCTTCAGTGTTTAACAATGAAATATTTGTCTATAGGATGCTGAACAGAACAGAAGAGGCTGCCGTAAGACTCATACATATTTGATAGCAAATTTAAACTAAATCAAAGAACAAAGTAAACAAAATTAATATCAAATAGTGAGAAAAGTGTTAATTATCCTATTTTTCCAAATTTTATAGTGATCTTGATATTTTATCATGTTGGAAATGAAGAGATATTGAGCCATCTGTGTTACAGATTTTGAAGTACAAGCAAGCTGTGGGTGCATCTGATGTGAGAGGAAAGATTACTGCATTGAGAGGATGCTTAAAGTAAATGTTCTGTCTTTAAAAATGTATATCCACAATCATTATCAACATATTTATTATTTATTTATTCATTTATATTTAACAAAGTTAAAATTGTGTATTTGTTTGGTACCTCTTCAAATAACTGTTTAAGTTATGCCCCCCTTCGAAGAGGGGAGGGGGTATTGCTTTGCTGCTGTCTGTCGATCCATCATCGGTTTCTGTTCATTTTCATTGCAGAAGTTGCACATATTGAAATGAAATTTGGTATACAGATTTATCATTAAAATATCTAGATCAAGTTTTATTTTTGGTATGATTGGGCCATTTTAGACAGAGTTATTATGCCCCTTGGACTTGGAAGAATTCCAATTATTTGCAATTTTCATTCATTTTCTTTGCAGAGGTTTCACATATTGAACTAAAATTTGGTATACAGATTTATCATAAAAATATCTAAGAAATGTTTTATTTTGAGTATGATCAGGCCATTTTAGATAGAGTTATGCCCCTTGGACTTAGAAAAATTCCAATTATTTGCAGTTTCCGTTCATTTTCTTTGCAGAGGTTGCACATATTGAAATGAAATTTGGTTTACAGACTTATCATAAGCATATCCAGGCCAAGTTCTGTTTGTATTACGATCGGGCCATTTTGGACAGAGTTATGCCCCTTGGACTTAGAAAATTTCCAATTATTTGCAGTTTCTGTTCATTTTCTTTGCAGAAGTTGCACATACTGAAATGAAATTCTGTATACAGATTTCTCATGAAAAAATTCAGTATACAGATTTCTCATGAAAACATCTAGGTCAAGTTCTTTTTTGTTTTTTATATAGAGCTCATTTCCTTCATGATGCTGATTTGTCCCACGAGGCTAATTTAGTAGAGCAGCATGCCTCCCTGCTGGAGAGACAAAGGCCAATAGAGGTACGGTCAGGTATCTAGTCATGTTAAACATAGAGATGGCATTCTGCATCAAAACCTTAATTCATATCTACATTTCAAAGACAGTTATTTCATCTAATTAATTTAGAAGACTCATGTTAATGCAATTCTTCAAGATCTTTGTAATATTAGGCCTTATATGAAATATCAGGAATATCAGTAGATGCAACATGAAGCTCTTATTAAATTTAAGAATGAAATCTAGTTATGATTGAAGTAATTTATCAAAGAGTCAGAATTTACAAGAAACAGAAATAAATCAGATAATTTGTACTCCTGTGTAGATATAAACAGTTGTATGTTTTATGTTAGGATGCTGACAGTAAAGCAGAGGCCCAGGGGAGTCCTGTATTTAAGCAGCACCCACGTAAAGTCAGCATCCTCAACATGCCCCTGATAACAACTCTGTATTACTGCTGTTTCTACCATGGCAGAGATGCTGAGGTGAGTGGAATCAACTGCTTCTTCCTGGATATACATTGTACAGTGTGCTTCTTCACCTTATAGCACAGCTGCACATGGAAGCATTTTGCCCTAAAAACATTGTCCTTTTTTTAAATCAACATTTACTATATTTTCCCTATGTAGAATTTTCCCCAACATGAATGAAAGAGACTACTTATAAAATGTGTTAGTAAAAATGCTAAAATAGAAAGGATTTTTGATCTGCACTATATAGACTATGCAAATACCCTGTAAAAACTGAAATTATTTCTCGCTCTGTAGTGTTTTCACTTAAGTAGGTAGATATTGCAGGAGGAAAAATGCACAATCAAAATTTAAAATTACATATATCTTGATTACCTGGTAAGTAAAAGATTTTAGGATTCTTTGTTTTTTAAAGAGCAATATATTTTCTGGCAAGTAAGAGTACCATAGATATAAGTACATGTACTGTATTCATGATTTTATACTTGTCTCATAGGTGATTAATGATAAAACACTCACTCCACATCAGCGCTTCTGTGTCTGTTTTCTGTCCGTATGGTTTATAGTATGGTATAAACTGCATCTGCAGTTAGTGTCTGACTGCTAGTTTTAAAACTCAATTTCATTTCAAATTTTATGTTCTCAAGTACATGCACCATGTAATTTTAAATGTTCAGGTACCAAGGCACCTTAAATACTTTTAAAGTGTACGTGTATTTTGATGTTTTATTAAAGCCATTATTTACAGAATCTGTTGACATCACCTTTAGCTATAAAGAAGCAGCATCAGGTAAATGTTTTCTTTATTATATTTATTATACATGTAGCTCTATAACAATGTATCAAAAATATTTTAACCAAGTAACAATGTGTCAAGTATCTTTTAACAAATTAAAAGAAAGCAGTATACATTAAATATTTACCTTCTTAGTTATCAGACAAACAGTACATATGGACTGCACTGCTGGCAAGGTCAAGGTTAAAGCACTGGACAGGCATCGAGGAACTCCTTACAGCCAAGGTAATAATTAACCTTAACAGAGAATCTCATTAACTACACGGTGAAGATACATGTAGTAACTTGGATTTTACTCCAGGGATAGATTTACCAAATATTAAAAAATCTTTTAACTTCAAAAGTGATTGGATATTCAAAATTTAATGAGTGGAATGCATTATAGATATAAAGATTAGATAATTCTTAACTTAAGGTACTATATGTTTAACACAACTTACTTCCACAGAAACAAATTTTCAGTTTAACTAACATGTATTTCCTGTCAATAGGGCTGGTTTGGTAGCACAAAAAATGTCTCAGTGATTGGTTTCGACAAAGTTTGTGAAATCTTACACAAGACGTCAGCTCCAGAAGATGTGAGTCAATTATTCACCATTGTTTTATGATTTTTGAATAAACCCATACTAATTTAAATACTATGTATTGAAATCATTTAATGGAAGTAAATGTAAAACAATGCTCAGAGGAATGACATTATAAAATTTTTAAAATAAGGATGCTCTAATACTGCATTAGTGAGTGTCTTTGTGAAGGAAATTCAGTCTCTTTGTTGCATGTTCATTGATAATTTTGTATCCCTTAGATATTGTCCAAGTATCTGAGGATGATAGATGGCTCTGAGAAACGATTCAATCTGGCCAGGAAATACAAATGTCATGAGGTGGTGGTGGAGGTGAGAATGCTTAATGATGTACAGAACAAAAGTAAAATATAAAATACATATAGTGTAAAATATTATGTTTTGAATGACTGTCACAGAACCAAGTTGAAGCTTACATTGGACTTTTAAGTTGATTATTTGTGGAAAATAGAACTTTTGACCAAGTGATACATGTAAATAAATTTTATCAATTTTTTCTCCGTGTAGACTTTGGTCAATCTACGAGATCGAGCTGAACTTCAAACCTATGCTAGTAAATTACCACCAGGTTCCCAAGGAGTGAAAATGGCTCAGGATGCTCTTAGATCCTCAGTAAGTCTCACAGCATCCATGTAAATAAATAAGTGGATCAGTTCCTTACATCTCACTCTTATTCAGTTTGCATTGTAGAGTTCATTTTTCATTACTATTTTATTTGATGTTAAAGTTTTTACTATGTATCTTACCTGCATGTTGTCTTATGGTTTGCTTGACGGCAATCAGTAAAGGATTTTTTAAGTTCTGGGTAAAGTGGACACAGTGAATATGTTGTTCTAATAATTGATGCATGTACTGTATAGATTTTTTTTTTTCATTTGCACCTGTTATTTGCTAGTATATATCATGTATGTTTTTGACATTATAATAATTTTTATATTTAAGACTATCAAGTGGAAAACATGAAGAGACAGGATGATGATGTCTACTACTGCAACTGTGATATTTGTTCATGAGAGAAGACAGTTTATATAACATAGATACATGAATTGCTAGATTTGATCTAGTGGTCAACCTTTTGGCACCAGTTGACAAACAGTACAAATCTTAATTGGTAATGTAACCTTTACAAGGTCTGAAGGAGGAATAGAATGTACACCATTTCTACAATATCTTGTCAAAGGAGTTGAATGTTAACAAATGGAGATACTTGAATGTTAACAAATGGAGATACAAGTAGAGATGATCAAAATTAAAAAGCGATGTTTTAATGTTAAGTCTAACAATATTGCGGACTTAATTTTTTTTTGTTACCTATATCAGAGTCAACAGTACATAACTTTTTTCTGGATGGTATTTAATCTATAAATATGGTTTACAGTACATGTATTTGAAAATCATATTTTCATAAAATGTTTACTGTTACTACTATAAATGTATTTTTACAATGATGTGTATTCTATTTAATAGCCATTCTCTGTAACCACTTAAACTTCGTTGCCACGCATGGTCACCGATTTTGATGAAACTTCACCCATGCTTAGTACTTGACACCAGAAACAAATATCAAACAAAATTTCGTTGCTATGTGTCTCGGTTGCTATGGCAACAGCCGGAAAAGTTTGAAAAGTCGAGATTTTCAGCCACTTTAAATCTTGACTGTGGCTTAATAAAAACTAGAAAAAGCAAACAAACCATTCTCACAAAAACAAGACACCTTGATGTCACTATGTAAAGAGGATTCTTTGTTTTTTATACTGTAAAGAAACTGTTTAGAATATATCTCTAAGTAAGTGGTATCCAAGGGTACATTTGGAATACATTTAAAATGCTGAAATATGCTGAAAAACACTCCGTATTCACTAATGGTAGGTGTTACATGCTCAAACTCAATCAACGACTTAAGAAAAACAATGAAAATGTTTGATCTTAAGTATATAAGTATAAGCAATATTATTCTATAACTAACTTTTATGGTTGCCATGGTAACACAGTGTAACCATGCAAAACCAGTAACTAAGATTGGGTTAATGCTACTGTCTTGAGGAAAAACATGAAAATTAAAGACTGGCAAATATGCATCCTTAGGACCTTGCAACACCAAAACCATAAGAAAAATTGGGTATAATTGCTACTTTGCAGTGTTACCATGGAAACAAAGTACCAGTGCTTAAAAGTGAATTATTCTTCGCTACATTAAGAATTAAACTGCCATTTAATAAAGAAACAAATTAAAGGACTCAGCTTAAATAGTACTGATCTGTTATAACTGAAGTTGAATATCATATATTGATAAAATTTAATGAATAAAACAACACTGTTGCTATGGTTACCAAGAAGGGAAAATGTTCGATTTTGTGAACTTTATATCAATATTAAACCCTGTGCGCCAACTTCTTGCATCCACTTAGAGATTGGATGATAGTCAAAATTAAAAGTCAAGTTAGCTGTTAATAAATATCAATCATAAAAGTTTTGGGAATCTACATTTAAGGGTACGTATCCAAGGAAAGAAAATATTTTTCAGGTTTTTAAGCATATATTTTCTGCTTATTTCCATAGCAACGCTCTATTTAAAGAATCTAATCTGAATTTTTTCAAATGGGAAAACTTGGAGCACACCAACATCTTATAAAATTGATCATTAGTTATGAGGAAATGTGCTTTTTTTTAAAGATAAGATCAGATTTAAACATACAGAGTGTTACTTTGAAGGCTCTCTGTGGTATAAAAACCTTGGCAACCATTGCCAATCAAAATGAAATATCATATTTTGTTCTTGGTATATGTTTCAAGGCTCTTTTTTCTATTATTTGGTCACATTTCATCCTATAATTGCTTTTTATTTTTACGTGTATGACTTGATAAAATTCAATAAATATTTTTTTTACTTTTGAATACTTTGTTACCATAGTAACGTATGTAATAGTTGATTTACCAAACCAGTTTATCATGCATTTGAGACATCTGACCTTCAACTTTTGGAAACAGTCATTGCCAATTGTTTGCTTTGCCGCAAATGTTAACTATGGGGCTCTAAACATGTTAAAAAATGCCATTTTTCGAACTTTAAGACATGTTGCCATGGTAACTATAAAACATAGCAACCAATTTTTGCCTGATTTCAGTTTAGGGTATCAATGACTTTTATCATAGAGAGTTTGGAGAAATTCTGAGACTATGCGTGCCACAGCTCTTATATAAAATTTCAAATCATTACAGAGAATGGCTCTTAATATCTTTGGCAGGAAGCAGCTTCTGCTAAATCGGGTACATTACCAATACCATGCTTACATTAACTTGAATTTATATTTTTAGAAATATACTAAGTCATATCTTTAATAACTTGTTGCAAATAAATTCCGCCAAATATTGCACATACTACATGATAGTCTTGTACATCTATAAGAGAATCATTATAGCTACTACTGAGTACTAGCCACTATATGTTCTGGTTTTTTAAAAATACTGGTAAATATAAACAGAATTATTTTTGGTAATATTTGGGATTATATTTGATAATTATTTTGTCAATTTATGAACTTTAAACATGAGTAAGAATAGGTTGATTTTTAAAAATAGTTTATCAATTTATATTTTATGCCCCAATAAACAAAGTTTTGGGGGTATATAGTTTTTGTTGTGTCCATCCGTCTGTCTGTCTGTCTGTCTAGCTGTTTGTTTGTCTGCAAAAACTTTAACCTTGCCCATAATTTTTGATTTAGTGGAGCTATACTTTCATATTTCACATGTGTATTCCATGTGACAAGACTTTTCTTTGGGTACCATCAAATTTGACCTTGGAGTTTGACCCACTTATACACAAAAATTCCAAACTTTTAATTTGGCCATATCTTTTGAACAGTAGATACTAGGACTTCTATACTTCATTAATATATTCTGTGTGAAAAGACCTTTCATTGGATACCAACATTTTTTACCTTTTGACCTTGACATTGGAGATTTCCTTACTTTTGAAAAAACTGAAACCTTGGCCCTAACTTTTGAACAGTAAGTATAAGTGCTTTCATACTTCACATATGTAATCCTTGTGAGAAAATCTTTCATTGGATATCAAGAGCTTTGACCCTTCAACCTTGGAGTTTGACCTACTTTTAAGAAGCAAACCTTGACCATAACTTTTTAAGGGTTGGGGCTAGTGCATTCATACTTTATATATGAATTCTTGTGACAAGACCTTTCTTTGGGTACCACTAGATTTAACCCTTTGACCTTGACCTTGGAGTTTGACCTACTTTTCAAAATTGGTAACCTTGGCCATAGCATTTTAAGGGTTAGGGCTTTTCATATGTAGTCTCTGTGACAAGGCCTTTCATTAGATACCAATTGACCTTAGACCTTGACCTTCGAGATTTCCGTACTTATGAAAAAACTTTAACCTTGGCCATAACTTTTGAAGGGTTAGGGCAAGTGCTTTCACACTTTTCATATTTAATCCTTGTGACAAGACCTTTCATTTGATATCAAGAATTATGATCCTTTGACATTGACCTCAAGATTTTAACCTTAAAGTTAAAGTTGTAAAGTTTAAAAAAAAACTTTAACCTTGGCCTACTTTCATATATTTCACAATTGTATTTCCAGTGAGAATACCCTACTTTGGATACCAATATATTAAATTTGCATATAAGAAAGGTTTAATCTTCTCTATTTTGCCATACAGGGGCATCAGTGTTTCACAAACACATCTTGTTTATATATCATTATGATATGTATCTTAACTATTAATATCTTTCTAATATCTTCTGCTCCATGCATTTCTGACAGTGCTACCAATTATAGGAAATACATTGATATTTTTTTATTTATTTAAATTATTTTATTAAAACAAATTCCTCACATTGTGTTGTAAGTGCTTTGAACTCATGGAATATGGCCTGAAAAAATCATTTGTGTCACTATTTGACTAACACCCCCCTTCTCCTTTAAAGCAGAGCATTTATTCAATATCCCCATTTGTGACCCCATCCTACCCATAGGGTCATGATTTGTACAAATCTAAATCTACGTAATCTGAGAATGTATCTTATTAGAATGACCACACAAGACTTATTCTTGAAAAGAAGAATTTTCAAAGTAAGTTCCTATATATATTCCTCCTTAAAACTTTGATTCTTTGATCCCCCATTGTGGCCCCAGCATACCCCCAGGGGCCATGATTTGAACAAACTGAAAATACTCAAATGAGGATGCTTTCATATACTGTAAGTTTAACTAAACATGGTTTTACTTGTCTTGAGAAGGCGATTTTCAAAGATTTTTACTATGTATTTTCCTCATTGTGGCCCCATCCTATCCTGGGGTTCATATTTGAACAAACTTGAATCAACACTATCTAAAGAAGGTTTCATATAAGTTATTTTATGTAATTCTTCACTACTAAATTTGTATGATGCTGTTCATTGAAAGAATGGCTGCCCTGTGAAGTATAGTCCAAACCCTCCTTTGTTCATAGACCTAAACCCCACTCTCCATATATGCTTTCGGAGTTTTGGGAATTCTCCTTTTGGTTTTTTTCCTTTTTGACTGGTCAAAGATTTCCTTAAGTTAATATTTTCCCTACTGCCACCTCTCCCTCCTGTATTAAGACGTTTCAGATTAATACAGCTGCCTATGTCTATTTTAAGCTTATTCATGACCAGAACGGCAACGAATGTAATCAATCAAGAAATATATAGTTTGCATAAGTTCGTATCATTTAATCAATAAATCATTTAATACAATTTACAACAAAATTGTTGCCCCCAGCAGTGGCGTAGCTTCGTTTTTGAAAGTGGGGGGCCAGGCAGAGAAAAAAATTTTTTTACTTACCTGAAAAAGTTGACAAGCAAAAAAAAAAAAAAAAAAAAAAAAAAAAAGGTAAAAGTTAGTCAAAATCCTATTTCGTGACTTTTTTTCAGTGTCAATTACTTTTAGTACCAATTCTTTTATTACATTTTCGGTACATTTCTAAACGTGGGGGGGGGGGGCAAACAGGCTTTGAATTAACATTTCCTATAGTGTAAGTAAGGTTGGGAAAAAAAGTGGGGGGGGGCGGGCCCCCCCCGGCCCCCCCGGATACTACGCCCCTGCCCAGTCAATAGCCACCCTTGAACTGTTACAATATTGTGGTTCGAAAGCCGCTTAGTCGTTGTATTGAATGAAAGAGCAGCAAAAAATATTGTTATCTTAAAAAAAACAACTGTTTGGTTGCCCTCTCCCAACCGACAGGCTAAAAATGGCCCGAGTAAAAACACACACATTTTTTTTTAGACCAAGGAAGCAATTATTTTTATATGCATTCTGGAAAATAAGTTTTGAAAATTCAGCATTGAAATTTTTAAAAATTTCTGAGAAACATTCTCACCTACCTTCCCACCCAATTTTTTTCATTCTGAGTCGTGAGAGAGCTAAACTAGAGGTACTGTGAGCAAAGAGCTCACTAAATGATACCCCCCGCC